TTGCCTATCGGCGGGCATTATCAAATCGATGAGGGCGAACCAAAAGTAGGGAGCAGGTATGGGTCACCAAACTCAAATTCAAAAAGTAAAAAAAAATTAAGCCCCATGACGAAATTTTCGAATTATAAATTGCTCTTGCTCGATTCAGTTTTTCTTTTTTCATTCAACAAAAAAAAAAGAAAGGAAAAACAAAGTGTAACAAAAGTTTTCCAATTGGAACCACACCCACACACTTGTACACAAGGCTTTTGGGAGTTTTTCCGACGATTGTTGGTGGAAATTGAGGGATCCTGAGGAGAACTCGACTTGACGTTGATGGAGGTTCCCCTTCAAACACAAGGAAACAGTGGAAGGACAAGCCGAAATAAGTTGGAACTCGAATTTACGGCCGGTGGCTGTTGTTTTGGGGTGTCATTGAACTTAATTTTGTTTTCCTTTTACTTAACCACACCATCCCCTCCCACATGCCATGCTTATGTTCTTCAACCCCTCTCGCCCTGTCCAATGTTTTATATTTTTATTTATTTGTGTACTTTATGCTACCGATATGGGCATACAGCAGAGTGCCCAAGGGCCGGCAAGTTGTTGACTTGCCACCACCGCCCACTTATCACGCCCCTCCTTTTTGGGCCTCCATCCCCTGCTATAAAATGATGAATTTTTATGAAAAACTGTAGAGAGAAAAAACATGGTGGAAAAATAAAAAGGAAAATCCGGTAGAGATTTTTTGCTTTGAATGCCAAGCAATTTAGAAGCGAAGCAAAAATCGTTCACGAGTGATTTTCATTTCTCGTTTCCCACAAAAAGCAAACAGTACAAATTAAATTTCAATATATTAAAAAGCAAGGTCAGAAAAAAATAAAAAAATAAATAAGTAGGAAGTATATGGAAGTATCAGAAGAAAAGGTAAATCATCGCCCGGTGTGACCTTTTTGGGACCGGCCTCTGTTAATATTTGATGTGATGCCTTTGGGGTTGGTCTTGGTCCTGGAAAGTGCTTTACAGATTAAAGAAAATTTTTGAATTTTCATTTAAAGTGTTTTTATATTAATTGCCACTTGAGCCATTAAGTCTAGAAAGACACTTTAGTGTCAGACTATATGTGTTTGAAGGGTGACTGGTGACTGGTGGGTGACATGGTGGCTTTTCAATTTTTAATGGCTACCAAATGCGGGCTGAAAACCATTTTTGGCATACAAGTAAATATAATTTTCGTTGCCTAAAAGCTCTAACAATCAAACACAACAGCAACAACAATGGCTTGTAAGAACAACAACAACAGCAATGACAAGCTAAAGCAATTAGTTTAATGTGATTCTCTCTCTTCTCGGCCGCCGTCTTGGCCCGAAGAGATGAAGCCTGACAAAGTTTTATGTACCACAAATGAAATTATAGTCAGTACACTGACTGACACACATACATATACAGTCTTCAGGTTACAAGAGAGCGCCACAGGCTGTCGCTGCAATTTACGCGCGCGAGGATGAAGAAAAAGAAGAAGGGGGAAAAAAATATGAAGGACTGGGCCACTGTCGCTCCTAAAAGCATGCTATACAAAAATTTCTGCCGCCTGGTTGGCAAAATTCTTATCTTTCGACTCTCACCTGCTCTTCTGTTTCACTTTTTAAGCATTTTAACTTTACTCCTCCTCTCTTTGCCACTCTGCCCCTCTCTGTATCCTGATTTTCTTTTCTCAGCAACGCTGTCATGCACATTAACCAAATAGCTGGCGCCTTGATTTGATTATCATATTGGTGTGTGTGTGTGTGCCTGTCTGTGTATGTGCGAGTGTGTGTCATGGCCAAGATTGCCGTTTGACAAGCAACTTCCGCACTTTTCACGGAAACGGAAGAATGACTGGGAGAATGGGGAGCTAGGGAATGGCAGGTCCCTAGAGAGAAAAAGGACCTTCTTGCCACCGACGCGTCGGGCATCCCAATTCATTTGTAAAAGTCGCCCCATGAACTAAATGGACACTTAGGTGCAGGTACTTAAAAGCCATTCCCCGGGGTAGAAAACAATTTACCAGGAGACACAGCAGACAGGAGACAGGACAGGACCTCTGTCGACCGCCGATTAAGTTTATACTTTTTAAATTAATTTTCAAAAAGTTGAAAGCATGCAATTTAATAATATGAGTAAGTGGTTACATTACTCTCTTTTATTTTAAGTGGAAAAACCACTCCATTAGGTTTAATTAATGGTAGTTTTGGGTGGGGTTTTATTTAAACATTTATTACTGGGAGGTTAAATATTATTCTTTATTTAAATATAAGGTCTATTTATTTATTTAAATATAAATTCTATTTATTATATATTTTATTTAAGAGGGTATTGATTAAATCTATAAAGTTTCCTAAGGTTTGCCTTTTTAAGAAATTTCTTTATAGGGCTATATTATAATTTATTATTTTTGTATTATATTAAAATTATTGATAAAACTAGTGTTATTTTAATATCATAACATTTTATAAAAATTAATAAAGAATTGAAGAATAATTCCCTTTTATTTAAAAATCCCTAAGAATAGATACATCTTAATTACCATATAAGGAAACATATACACCTCCCCACTTTAATAGTTGATCTACCCCCTCTTGAAAATCCTAAAATATTTTCCTCTTCAACACATACATATGGCTTTGAAAACTCAAAATCAAAAAATGCAATCTAAAATTTCGACATGGCTGTTGACTATCCATAAATTGCGATTTCTTGCACCAGATGAACTGAAAGTCCGCCATTAACCATCCAGTAACAAGTACGCCCTGGCTGGCAGCATATATCAAAGTTTAACCTTTGCCAAAGGAAAACATATTTTGACTCGGCGCTTTGATTTATGCCACTTCCCCTCCCTGGATCCAGTAGGGCTGGGGGCCTCCAGTGCCACATTTTTTTTAGCTGTTTGTTTGTTTCTGTTTCTGTCGCATACATGATTCATGGGCTAGCTCTATCTCGCTTTTTTAGAGGGAGCCCAAGCGATGGGGAAAAGTCACTTGAATGCTGTGTGTTGCCGCTTTGATTTCCGTTACGTATCCTCCGGTAGCCAAGGGTCCCCAAACAGACCCTTCACCCCCGGTTGGGGTACATCTGCAAATTGCCTGCAATAAATTTTTTGCCCGTTTGCCATAAAACACTTAAAACGATTTGCAAAAAAAATAAAGAAAAAAATAGAAGAAGCAGGAAAAGCGTACAAAGCATGGAAATGAGGAAAAATCGAACTGGTATCCATCGAATTTCCACTTACGATATCAGCCATTTTCGATATCGAATCGAAACCATACCACACACCAGGAATTCGACTCAATCGGAACACAAACAGAATGAAAATGCTTAATTACTTCCCCTTTTCGATGGCTGCTAAATTTATGATGTACAAACTCAATTTGAAAAGAAAATGGGAAAATGGCATGGAAAGCGGGAAAATAAATTCACAAAATTCAATTCTATTTGCGAAAGCAACAAATACAAAACAAATGACTTCCTTTATGCGCGAAAAACTTTCAGTAGAGCCATGTGTGAGATGAGACAAGGCACTGAAAAAAAAAAAAAAAATTAAAATGAAATATAAATCCTTAAAATTAAGTCTTTATTGACTTTACTATCTTGTTTAAAATGTTTTAAAATAAAGTTTTTTTATTTAGAATCTTTTTTTTAGAATTTAATTATTTTTCTCACTGCACTTGTATGTATTTTGTGGGTGGTTGGGTTGGTTGACTTGCTTTTGGATTGTTTGGATTGCTAAAAGTTTTTCTCGTAAACTACTGCCACTGGCTGGCTTCTGTTTTTAGTTTCTACTTCTGTCTCGGCTTCAGTTTCGGTCTTTCTCCCTGCGGACTTGGCCAAAAGGGGTTATGACAGGGAGTCCAAAATAGAGTCACGTGTGCTGGGTTTCCATTCTAGATATTCTTTGCATCTTCCACCGCAAATGTGCGGTTGCGGATAAGCTAACATCTTAGTAGATCCAAGTGGATTATGCCAAAATATATAGCCAAAGCCACTGGGTTCAGTTAAGTTCCGAAAGTAGACCGGATGTCTATATTTAACGAGAGAGGAGGAAGGCCGAAAGGTCCGGCAGGCTAATTGAAAACTGAATTCCCAGAAAATGTTTTTGCGCCAAATTAGCGAACCGAAAGAAAGAAAAAAGCAATGGGTTTCCTGCATAAATGAAGTGCAGCTGAATACAAAAAGGCAGAAACCGAACAAAAACTGAAGGGGCAGGGTTTGGGGCAGAGCACAATGGCCAGCGACAAGAGTCCAAAAATAACAAACAAAAGCCACCCAGCACTGAATGAGATGACTCTGGCCGTCGATGAATGGGAGTCGGTTTTTCTTCTGAATGGTGGAAGCCTGTCAGGGGATCCGTAACCCGGACCCCAGTTTCTGACCTTTCGGGGTCCGTAATCGGGTTGACACGCAAACGAAAACTGAAAACTGAAAATTGAAAACGAGACAAAGGCCAGAGACTTTCAGGGAATCGCTAATCAACCGACCGGGCCCCCTATATATGTTATCCCTTTTGTGTATTTCTAGCATAAAACTACAGTGGAGACTAGAGTTTGAAACTCTAGTGTTTGTAAATTAAATACTTTCGTCAGGAAACTATGATAAATATTTTATAGATTTTTTTTTAACTCCCGCCTTGCAAAAGTTGGGAGAAAAATTACTGTAGGAGACTAGAGTTTGAAACACTAAAGTTTTTGTAAATTCAAAGCTCATCTAAAAATTCAGAAAGGATTCAATGCTTTGGATGTAGCATTTCAACAGGACACTATGTTAAAAAGAATTAAGATCTATGGCAGTGAAAGTTTTATTCCCAAATGTGGAATCTATTGTTTAGTTTTTGATAAATAGTGGGAGAGTTTGGTAAGAGAATAAAAATGTCCACAAAAAATTAAATAGAGGTGACTTATTACCGAGTTACTGCTCTTAACTGGACCATTTTTTTGTTTGGAACCAAACACTTTTCTAACCTACAGTTTTCCTCTCGAAAATTTCAGTAACCCCCGCGTTTACGGGACAGGAATTTTAATCAAGCCACAGAATGCAGTTCACAGGGGCCGGACTCTTGGCCATAACAACGCTGTACTAATTGTGGCCCAGACCACGTCCACGTCCAGGAATCGTTCTTCGGGACAAGGACCAGGACCATGGCGTCATTTGTATGCAGCCGGAGAACAACAACACAAACAACAACAACATCACCAGCAAAAGCATCCCTAGAAGCGGAATTTTCAAGCAGCGGCTAAACGGAAACCCGAAGCCGCAGAAAATCCACAAAAAAACGTAGTGGAGGAGGAGTGGTAGGAGGAGAACTAACCAGAAAACCAGTCAGCCAGGCAACCAGAAATTGGAGAGCCACTGAAATAGTGCACCCGAAAATCAAAGAGGCAGCTAGAAAGGAGCCAGGATGATGAGTGCTGGGGGAACCTACATTTCCACAGCCAGTGTGGAGGTGCCACAAGCGTTGCAGGATGGAGAGAAGTTCATACGATGGGACGATGTGAGTAGAATGTCAATTTTTACTAAAACTAGGTTTAGGTGTTTTTAATTTTTGTAATATTTTAAATATATATCCTAGTCTTAGTAAATTAATTTCAATTTATAAATGCTCTAAAATGCATTTAAAAGTTTATTTATTTTTTTGGTTGTTATAATCAGTTCATGATTTCTTGAAAATCAGCATTAGCCTATCATTAGCTTTATAAAAATGGCTAATGTATGGCTAGCCTATGTTATCACTCGTTTAATGAACGATTTTTAATTAATCAGCCAAAGTAGCTTATTTTTTCCATAAAAATAAAGAGAATATCTTACCTATTTCTTCTCCAAGAAGACATCCTCTTAAAAGTCATATTTAATCACAAAGTTTATCGGTATATAGAATGTTCGTTTATTGAGAGTTATATTATTGAGAGTTTACAATCTTAGGCACGGAGTAGAGCCGACTTCTCGGCAATCCATTTAAGAAAACTACCCACGCATGTATAGACAGATGGATACGTGGTGCTAGAGCAGGGAGTGTAGCCCCAGGATACGATGCCCACCAGATATCCCCAGGATGTTAAAGGACCGCCACTGTCTCCGTTGCAGGCTCCTTTAGGTGTTCCCTTAATATGACTGCAAACATTGGTCTCGGCCAGCTTGCTGTTGGCGGGCAGTTCTTTGGCGCAAGTCTCGGCGTCGATAATATTGGTTTCCAGCTTCTGGAGGGCAAGTGGCAAAGCCCCCCAGGAGTCGCGTCCCCAGCCGAAGAGGGTGCCGTTCCCGGTGCCCTGGAAGGTTTTGCCGGGCAGGTCGATGGCTGCCACCGGATAGCTGCCGTCTCGGGCCCTGGCATTCAGATCGAAGGGATCCTTCAGGTGGATCAGGGCGATGTCGTAGGGACCCACACTGCCGCCGTATAGTTCGTGGACAACGTACTGGCTGTCGCTGGTCACCTGGCGCCTTTGGGCATTGGACAGGTCGGTGCGATCGGTGACTCCGCCCACAACCCAGAAGAGTTTATAAATCATGCAGTGTGCGGCGGTGAGGACCAAATCCTTTGCGATGATGGTTGCGCCGCAGTAATGCGATCCTTGCTCGGTTTGCAGGGAGACAGCAAAGGGCGCCTCGCCGACCTTCGCCACCTCGCCATCGATGATGCGACCCTCTGGGAATCCCGGCTGGGGGATCAGGCTAGCCGTGACGGTGGCCACCGCCAGGGAAAATAGAACCACGAATTGTCTCATGATGTTGCTTGTTGGAATTGCTGTTGTAGTTTGTTCTATTCCCAGTTGAAAGAGTTCCTTATATAGCTAGAAAGTCAGAACCCAATCTATATACTCAGAGATCCCCTTGCTAGCGTTATCAAGAGAGATTTACGATCCTGAAGCGGCATTATTCTTGGCCCCGATATGGCCCACCTTTTGTCCTGCCATTGTCCGACGCTATTGACTGATTAAAAACCAATCTTTTGTGGCGCCTGCATCCACTCGAAGCACTCGTATAAAAAATAGTCACCGATCAGTCTGGATCTCGTCGATTTTTGACCCACTTTGTTCGAGTTTTTTCGCACTCTTTGTTATTGAAGTAATTTATTGTATCGATTCCGGTCAATGTTGATCATAAAACACTATTAAATCCTCTATAGAAAGACAGTTAGCTGTTCGGAAACTATTCGCAATGATAAGATAGGACTAATGGCCAATGAACCAGACAATAGGGGACCATAAACTGATTCCTACCTATCCCAGTTAGTTTTAAATGGGGATATTAATTAGAATTACTTAAATTTATAAAAATAAATACATAGATAAGTATTTTTATTTAAAACCCAATAACATATGCCTATCTCTTCTTACAACAAAGATATTCAAAGGGGACTAAGACTTGTACGTATAATTCATTCAAGAAGTCCCATCTCTTTGTATTTCTAGTATTATTTATACTTTCCTGGTCTTTATTATTATTAAATTATAAAGACTCTAAACTTTAGCAACATGTTGATAAATAAATCAAAGCTTTCCAAGCTTTTTCTTTCGACTTTACCGATTTCAGTCAGTAGCTTCATTATCTTCCCGATAAGAAGCTTCCACTCGAACGCGCTTTGATTGGTCGAGTGGATGACTCTCAAAACTGGAAACCCTATCATTACTGGCACACGCCTCCAAAAGTCTGTGCTTTTCCAGAGCTTACAATAGAGTTCGTAAATCAGGAGGCAAACGTTGGACTGGACGGGCCTTAATCCCCTCCAGATTATCAATCGATTCCATGGTAATCAGACATCATAAATTCCTAAACCTTTCAAGACAAAGTTGGCAAACAACGAATGAACTTTCATTCTGGCCATTATTTCACAATAATAGATTTTTGGTGAAACTTGCTTTCTCATTTTTAAGATTAGGAAATGGAATGGAAAAACATCTATCTCCGTAGTATAAATAAACCTATTGATTTCTAGGGGAAGTTTTTAGGTGATCTTTGTAAGAAATGGCTCTTCATAATGAGTTGTCTTTTTCTTCAAGGGATATCATAAAAATAAAGAGCCTTTATTTAGATTCTAGACTGTTCTTTGATTCATAATTTTTATTACATTCCATGTTCTTAACAAAGACTTCTAGATAGAAACCTTCCCATAGAAAGGAGTATTATTTCAAACCCCTCAGAACCCAAGATATCTCCTTCCTTAATCCACCTTCCTCGCAACTCCCCAATAAAATAACAAAAATATTTATAGTCGGATGCATTTATTCAACAATCGATCATAGCTATGATCCAAAGTGATGGCCACCCGCCACTAGATCACTACAGATCCACTCCTCCAGCTTAGTAGAGACGGTAGTAGGCGCTCTGGATGTCGGCAACCCAGTCAACGTAGGAAGCCACACGGGTGTAGACAGAGGGCAGCTGGGCCAGTCCGCAGGGAATGTAGCCCCAGGAGACGATACCGATCAGCTCGGAAGCAGCATCCTCGAACTCAACGACCAGGGGACCGCCAGAGTCACCGTTGCAGGCAGACTTGCTCTGCTGGTGGGAGGAGGAGCAAATGTTGGTGTCGGCCAAGGGAGCGTCCTCGGGAAGGGCAGCCTTGCAGTCCACGTAGTTGACAATGTCGGTGGTCATGGTCTGGAGGGTCTTGGCGGCGGTGAAGACGTACGACTTGGGCTGTCCCCATCCGTACAGGTGGCTCTCACCCTCATGGACCTGATCGCGGCTGGGCAGAGTGGCGGGGGAGACGTTGTCGTTGAAGACGAAGGGCTCGCTGACGTGCAGGATTGCAATGTCGTAGGGACCCACACCACCGGTGTACTTCTCGTGAACGCGGCCAAAGTCGACCTGACGGTGCTGGGTGAGTTCGTCCACCTCGGCGCGGGTGTGCAGGCCGGCGATGACGCTCATGCCCTCGGCCTTGGAGATGCAGTGGGCAGCAGTCAGGATCCAGTCGTGGGCGATGATGGTGCCGCCGCAGATGTGCGAGTGCTTCTCGTAGTTGGTGGCCAGGGACACGATGTAGGGAGCGGAGTGGGGCTCGGCCTCAGTGCCATTGATCACGAATCCGGTGGCAAAGCTTGGGACAAGCTTGACCAGCTGGTCGGTGATCCGTCCGGCTTGGGCGGCGGCCACCAGGGCAACGAGCAGGGTCACGGCGATCAGCTTCATTCTGTTTAAGTGCAGGAAGTGCTATGCTCCTCACAGTCGCCCCCAGCTTTTATACTCGACGCCCCAGTCAAGATTAGCAGATAGATTTACGATTCGTATCTGGCTTAGGAGTGATTAGTTAATTTCGTCTGTATTGATTAGGATCAGACGATAAGAGGGCCCAGCTAACCTTGGTAGTAAACGGACTTAAAGTTCCGCTGGGGAAAAGCCCTGGCACGTGGGTACCCTTAATACAGCTCCAGGTTAAACCCACTCCCTCTTCCAGGGTTTTTTCTCTTATTTTTGAGGCTTTAATAGCCAATATTGGATTAGTTTATTTCATTTTGTATTAATTAGTATTTTGGTTGAGGTCCTTGGGGATTTACGCAGGTGGGTGTGCGTAATTTGCTGAAACAGAGGTGTTGACACGACAAGGTCACAGTGCGGGTCTCAAAGGATGCTAAAAATACTGACCCCCAGTCCACACAGACCACCCAGACCCCCACGACCCGTCTAAGCCAATTAAAAGTGGATTTCATGGAGCATACCCAGCCATACCTCCTCGAAGTCCCTCTGAAATGACCACACGTTTGCGTAAACATTTTCCAAGCGACAAACTCACGACATGGGGCATGTGTGGCCTTAATGCCACTCGGAGGCAAGCGGCAACTAACTTTGCCAGCACTGTGGATGGCGATTATGTGCATGGATGTGCACGAATGTGTATGCAACGTTGCACCCTGGTCCTGGGGTAATTGCATGTTTTGTTTTATATTTGCCACCACCACCACTAGAGGTTTGGGGCCTCGGAGAGAATCAGTCCCAGGGGCCATTACCCACCATCCTGGCATTACTTTTAATTCAATTTTATGCGCATTTTTAAATCAATTAGGACAGCGTTTTGTTAAGTAAAAAATGATATTCATGTTTTTTTAGATAGTGGAGAGTGGTTTTTATTCGATTATGGTGGCTAATAGATATAGAGGTTCTATAATTTCCATAAAATCGATATAATGGAGCGACTAGCAGCGGGAACTAGTTCTGGAAGTAATTGAAAACTTTTTTGGGGACATTCTCTCTGGCTCTTGATAACAAAAAGCTTTTAAACTTTTTCTATAAAACGCCAGCTGCGTTCGGGCCAACAGTTTAGACTTTTCATAGTACTCCCCGTATCACAAATGCTATCGCCACTCTACGTTCTTCTGCCACTTTTGGCTTTGGCCGGAGCCGCCAACATTCCACACTTTCCCGCCCATCTGACAGTCAAGCACTTGGAGCATGTGCCGGTGGAAATTCAGCCCCTGATCATCGATGGATACGATGTCCAGGGAGTGGATAACGTGCCCTACCTGGTCTCTCTGTCCCTGACCAAGGCCACCTACACCCATCTGTGCGGCGCCTGCATCATCGGTAAGAAGTGGATCCTCACTGCGGCCCATTGCGTCAAGGAGTTGGAGGACTTCAACGGGGATGCTCTAGGAACTCCAGTCTACGCGGGAGTCACCAACAGATCCAACGTTACAGCAGCCCAAGTGCGCTATGTGGACTTTGTCTCGAAGCACAGATCCTTCACAGGCGAAGCTGGAAGCGACAATATTGCGCTGCTTCACGTGTCCGAGAGCTTTGTTTACACGGCTCGGGTTCAGCAAATCGCACTGCCGGATATCAACGACGATTACACCAACAAGACGACGGCTGTCTATGGCTGGGGCCTCACCGACGTGGACAACGACGAGTACTCCAAGCAGTTGAAGTACGCCTTCGCCCCGCTCTTGGACAGAAGCGCCTGCCAGGGTCTGCTGCCCTCGGACGCTCCGCTGAGCAACCAACAGGTGTGCTCCCAGGTGAAGACCTGCTACGGAGATGGAGGCAATCCCCTCATCTACTGGCCCATCGATGGACCTGCGGAACTGGTGGGTCTGGCCTCCTGGAGCTACATGCCCTGTGGCTATGCCAGCAGGCCGACGGTCTACACCTCGGTGCCATCGTACGTGGGATGGATCTACCAGGTGATCGCCGCCTATTACCAGCTGAATTAGGGAGCACCTGGAACTATCATTTTTTGCGTAATACTCTTCTAGTGCATTAAAACACAGAAACAAAAAAAACAAAACCAATCTAATCGATGAGCATTTTTATTGCCCGATAAGTGGACGGCTGATTGGCCAAAATTGAACTATTATTTACGATCTCCGATCAGCCAACTAATATATAATCGAATCAGTTATAATGCTGAGTAAGTGCAGCAGGTATGGGTATTACAAGAAGGGTTTCTATGAAGGTCGAGGCTAGAGCGTATGGTTGGGATTAAATAACTAAACTGTTAGGTAACTACAAGTATTTATAATGAAAATCTTAAGAGATGATATATTATGGATTATCAACATTATGAGACCCTTTTTCAAGTGGGTTGAGCCCAAAACTAGATTCGACTATTCAAGTACTTTTAATTAATCAGGCGCCAGCAATTAGATTTTATTGTTATTAATATTTATTGATAGGAAGCTATAGACTCTAAATACGACAAAACTATAGATGATCAAAGTTCAGATTAGAGAGTATTATATTCAAGTGGAAAGATAAGACTGTTAAGTGATTGAATCTTTAGATTTTTTGTTATACTCAGCTCTTACTTTTATTTTAGTTTCATTAAGTTTATAAAGAAAATTAATTAGAAAAGTGGTTTTGGTCTTGAGAATAAATGTATACGCTTTGTCTTCTGTCATGGCTCGAAATCGAAAGGTTTCCAGCTGGTTTAAGCCTTTATTTTCCATTTCCGTTGCTCACAGAGCACATCAATCTTAATTTCTGAGCTCTGGGTCGACCTCCCGGGTCGCGTTCATCGTCATAGCCCGACTAGCAGATGACTTTAGTTCATCTCCAGACCAGTTCCTTCCTCTAACTCCTTTTGGGAAACATCAACAGCGATGGTGGTGGCGTGGGTGGAAGTGCTAGTGCCAGTGGCAGGCAAAGTTCTCGAGTCCTGGGAAAACTTTCTCAGGTGTCCTGAAAGGGGGGTGGCAAAGGTAACAGGTAACAGTGACTCAAGTGGTTACATATTTTATGATATAATTTGCATGTAGTTTGAGCCAACCAACAGCTGTTTAAACTCGTTTCGATAGTTGAGGAACTAGGATGGCAGCTCGGGAGTACAGCCCGGCTATGTACATATCCTGTGTAACAACAGCATTTGCATATCCTCTTACCAACCAACTTTAATGCTTTCCCTAATGCACTGGGGCACTCATACCGAAGCACCCAGGGATGTACCCAGGGACATCCTTTTTCGAAATTTCAGTGCTCTAAGCATGATTGACAGTCGAATGGAAGAATGGCGTGTGACAATTGTCACCGGCAGATGTGAGCCATGTGAGCCATAGCTGTTGCTTTATTTGTATCCTCTAAATGGGAATCTCCACACTGAAAGAAATATATAAGAAACCTCTTTTATTTGATGGCTTTTAAATGAAAATGAATATATCTGCCACTCAACCACAAAATCGTCTATAAATGAATCATACACTCGATACGTTTTTCACTTCAGACTGTAAGATTATAATCGGCAATTGTTTGATTTTAAATTTTAGCACGAGTCTGGCGGAATTCGCGGTCATTGCCAGTTTAATGATGTTGCAAAAATTTAACGAGCCATTTTAATGGAAGGCGTAATTTAAAAGCAATTTAAATGGGCTTTAGTAAGAAGTATATTCCGTTTTTGGGTTTTAAATATTAGAATCAAAGAGCTTTCTGAATTATTAAAAATTGTATTAAATTCTAGGAAAGTTTATAATAATTTTGAGAGTCTTAATTATTTCTCTCAGTGCCCTGTAACATCAGCTGGCTGGCATTTATCCTTTTTCTTCGTTTTTTTCTGATGTGGCATCCTTTTAGCGATTTCTATAATGGCAAACCAACATGCAGGGAGTCAGATCCAACTGTTACACCAATTGAATTATGCATGTAATCGCTCGTATCCTAAACGCACACAACTACAATCGAAAAAAAAACCATATACCAGTTACCAGATACAGATATAGCATATATATTTGCAGATACAGATACTGGATATATGTATGTATCTGACTTGTATGCATGTGGTGGCTTTTAATATTTGAGAAGCGTGTCAAGTGGCAGTCACTTTCAACTTGAGCCTTTCAGGGCCAGTCACGAACTGAAAACTGAAATTCGCACACAATTTCTGCATTTATTGGATTTCCACTGAATTTTGCATATTGAAATTGAATTAACGAACTCTTTCGCACCCCCGCCCTTCCCAACCCATTCAATTAGTTTTCCAGTAATTAGAGAAGCGAAAGGACGGGACCGAGCTGAGTCCTGGGGATTGTGGGCTCCAATTAGCGATGGCCGAGCCCTGCTTGCCTCCCCTTGCCTCTCTGGCAAATATCCTGTAAATCCCAAGAAAATATGCGCCTAATTGAATATCACAAGTGGACTGGGACTGGGACTACGGAATCCGAGTGGTTGTTTTCAATTTCAATTATTAAGGGGCGAACCTCGGCACGCCCTCACCAATCGCCCCCAGGATGGCAGGCCACTTTGGCACCTAGTGGGTTCATTAAACCCAAACCCCAATAACCCCAGACCGAAACAGAGAACCCAAGCCTAAACCCGAAAGGATAATGAACTTGTGGCAGCGCGAATTAAATATGCTCGTAACGAGTATTTCAGTGCTCATCAATTTCTGGCCATAACAACGAACATTCCCTAATCTTAATGGGCCAGTGCCGGGGTCAAGGAATTCCTTCCAACCATCCATCCATCCATCCCACCCACTAATTGGAGTGGGACCCCTGGGCTCGGAGGATGAAATTCGCGTGAAAGGTAGTGGTTCAAAAGCCTCTGGTGCGTTGGGTCTTAAATTACCACTCGGATGAATGGGATTTGATAAAAGTTAATGCCATATCATAATTGGTTGAAAAGTAATACTTGTTGCATTTTAGGGATTTGCTATCCACGGATTTACTTCTTAAAGGTTTAATATCTTAAAGCTGATAATCCTTAAACAAAAATAATAATAAACCCACTCTTTGGAAGACAACATTGTTGACATTCTTGGGAGGCAAGTTGGCGTGACCATTCCGCACTTTTTGCCAACTTTGTTGCACACACATTTAGCGTGCTTTTGTTGCATGTTGTCTGGGTTGACTTTACCCCCCCCCAAATGGGGGAAGGGGACCTCAGACCTCCCTCCCCCCCCCAACGGGCCACCCTGGATAAACATTCATTTGCCTCGCACCATTTAACGCGTTATTCGAGTCGCTTCCGAGAAGCGCCAGAAAACGCGAATTTCTCGAGACATTCATTCGTTTTGGTTGCCAGATTTTTTGGCTCCCTTCAATTTGCCATGCATACTTAAAAATTAAAAAATATTTCATTTTCCATCAGAGAGAGAGAGTGGGAGGGAACCGATCCACATCTGGTTGGCATCACCAGCTGGGCGAGTGGGAAACATTTTCACAATTTCGCATTCCTTTTCCGCGTTTTTCCCCTTGGTTTTTATGAATGGATATATGGATATATGCCGGAGTATTAAATATTTATGACTGCCGGGCCGAGAACCATTTAATTTGACTTAAATAATAAGCAGAAATAACAGACGACAGCCCGGGCCAGCAAGTGTTGTACATTTTGCGGCCAATTCTGATGAGAAATCGGCCAGAATAATATCATTAGCTTGGGTGGTTCAATAAACTCGCCTCATACATTATAGTACATTTTATAAAACCTATAGAAACTTATTCAATTTGTAGAAAAATGTTTAGTAAAATAGAATGAAAAATTTCCATAAATTACAGGAAAATGTATAAAGTCTAATAAACCAGACTCTTGTTTATAATTTGTACGATTTTATGTCTGTAATTGATTTATACTGTAATGCCTATAAATATTTACTTACTGCCACATTTTGATGTAATTTTTTGGATATAATTAAAGTCTTATATATGTGGAAATATAAATCAAGAATTATGTATATCCATTGTTTTATAAAAACCATCCCAAGTTCAATAAACTCTCTAACTATTTATACGTTATATCATGTGTACGTCTTTATTGGACCCGAATCGGATGAAATGGGGTTATGGAATAAATATTTTCATTATCACAACTGCCCTTAGTTAGCCCTTATGGAGCTTGTTTTTGCTTATTTGGTTCTCAGTGTTTGATGCTAAAAGTCTCCTTAATTTCAGGACTCGGGCACTGGGACGCCGGTGACGATGCGCGTCGATGCCAAGGGCTTCTTCCTCTATTGGGTAGATCAGAACAACGAGCTGGACATCCTGGATATAGCCACCATACGCGATGTTCGGACTGGACAATATGCCAAGAAGCCCAAGGTGCGTATACGTAATAATTGCTTTAAAGTTTCCCGGGGGGATTGACATCAATTACCTCGTCTGGTAATGGATTTGCTTCTTCATCTATGGGATCCTCGACTTCTTCACAGGATTGCTCTTTGGTTTCATCACTTTCTTGGCCGGCAGCTCCTCCCTTTTTCCTTTTGCAACCACAAGCCGATTTGCAGCGACATTTCACTGAAAATTAAAGAAAACATGACATTTGTGGGGTTTTAAACATGAAGGATTTTTAAATGAGAATATTTATCTGTATCTGTCCAGCTAACGAGTGCAATAAATTTGTCATTATGTCAGGAAGACCCAGGAAAATGTTTCACATCAACGTGGAACCAGTGTTTTCCGATTTTAATTTCAATTTAATTTAAATAATTAAAAAGTTTAAATATCAGAGGGTCTTTAAAATGAGTCCTGGGACCTTCTGAGAAATCTGTAAGAGATTCTAGCCAATATTGGACAGTAGCAATTGAAAGCCAATTACTGGAACTGAAGCCTAGGAGGACTTGGGGACAAAAACTGATTTTCCAGGACTACAGCTCAGGTAATCTGCCACTGGATTGCCCAGCCAAGTCACGTGCCTCGTGTGCGTCGTGTGTCCTCATCCTTGGACCCGGAATCGGAATCAGTACCCCATTGTGTGTCCATATACCCCTCATGTGTGTGTATATAAGTGTGGGCTGCAAGTTTCTCCCTCGTTCGCGTCACGCGTTTTCCGGTTTTACACAATTTTCTTTTCATGGCACGACTTGCCTCATTGTGTGTGACTTCTGTCTCCCACACCACCACCCACACCCACTCCCCCACCAGATACCAGTATGTGTGGCAAGTTAATACATTTATCTTGGCAATGACAAGGCAACATGGTTCGACTCTTGCTTTTGTTCGTTTGGAAAACCATTTACAATGTAAGCGCTTTGAAAACTTTTAAACTAAAAAATGTCAGGCCCCCTAAACAAAATTTAAAACCTAATCCCAATCTAACTAAGGCGTATTATCAAATTAAAGTTTCATAAATGTTTCTTCGATTTTGGGGTTTTTTTTGCGTGGCATTCCCGGACCCATTATGGCAATTATTCCAAAAAGGAAAGTCCTTGGGCGTCATTTCCCTTCGAGTTCCTTCGTCGCTGTGGGGAGTGGCGCTGCTTTCAGCTTTCTATTTTCCGTATAAATCATACTGTTCGGCCTAGGGCCACGCCCACCATCCGCCCCGATAATGGTTGCAGTTGCGGCTCTGTTTTGTTGGTAACATATTTTTGTTGGTAACGGACTGGGCCAGGCCCAAGGCCAGAGCCAAATGAGTTTTGTTTTCCTTTCATTTCAGCCTGCGGGCCGAGAGAGCCTCGGGGAGAATGATGAAATGGAAAAGGGTTTCACGAGAAGAGTATGGGTAGTTTTGGTAGGGGTTAGTATGTAAAATAAACTATAAAATTATATAAAAGAAAATTAACTAAAATTATTAAATTTAGGAAAAAAAAAATTAATAACTAGAACTAAAAAAAGGTATAAGGGAATAGTAATTCAAGATGTTACCTACTATGGCCTGCATTAGTTATAGTATAGCTAGTATACCTACTAATACTTCTACTCTTTCTGCCCTTAATCCATAGCCCCTTAACCCCTAAATCCTTAAATGAGTACAAGCCCATCTACATTTTTAAAAGCTAATCAAGTTTATTAAACTGTACAAATTGACTTAAAATTCACATTTGGACAGAAGAAACGTATGCATTTGGACTTGGACTCATTTAAGGATTTCCGAAACAGGTTTGGGGTATAAGGACACGGCTCTGGACACACACCCTCCTCACCCACAGTAGCCGCCCTGGGTGAGGCGGTTGCAGAGTCGGTGTAGGAGGCAGTTCAGGCTCTTGGCGATTGTGGTGTCCCCCTCCATGTTGCGGCAGAGCAGATCCCTTTGGACTTGCTGGAGGGCCTGGACGCGTTCAAAGTGCTTCTGCATGCGGTGGTTGCCACAAAATGCCGAATCGCATTCGATGGGATCACACTTGCGGAGCGGAGCTCGGTATTCGGGATCCCGGCACTCCATGTACTGGCGATGACGCATTCGGCGAAGATACTCCTTCAAGATGCGCTCGTTGTTGCGACGGCGCATGTCCTTGATGAGGGGAGTGTCCTCTTCCTTGGTCACCTGGCAGCAGATCTCGCAAGGGCAATCCTTGACGCCGTCGCCGTCCTTGTCTTTCTTTTCCTTGTCTTTTTTGCCTTTCTTGTCCTTTTTCTTTTTCTTCTCGACCTTGTCCTTTTTGATATAACCCTTGAGTCCGTCATCATCTTCGGCTTTGGGGGTTTCCTTGGGGGGTTTCTTAACCTCCTGGGTCTTTCCGCCATCGCCAAGGTCGGGTTTCGGCATTTCCACAATCGGGGCCGGGGCGGGGGGCTTTCCGCCGTCTCCTTCACTGGATTTCTCCTTTTTACCCTTGCCCTTTCCACGATCACCATCGCCCTTGCTCTCTTTTTCCTTCCCATCGCCCTTATCCCCATCGTCCCCCATATCGCCACCGTCATCCTTTTTCTTACGGCCTCCCCTGTTCCCATCATCAAAGTCTCGTTTATGTCCCCCATCGTCCGTGTCCTTCTTGCCATGCTTGTCGTCGTCGTCGTCCTTCTGGTCGTCGCCGGACTTACCATCTCCGCCAGCTCCCTCGGGCCCGAACTCGCCGCATCCCACGGTAGGCGGGTCCTTGGGATCCTGGCAACATTTCGCAAAGGCCTCGCACATTTCGTTGCCATCCTGCTGCTGGACGAAGCACGGGGTGAGAGCCTTGTACAGCTCATCGTAGTTTCGTGGCTCCGGCTCCTTGGGCTCTTTGTAGGCGTCCATTTCCCGCTTGAACGCCTCGTCGTAGGGCCGGGGATCCATCTTGTACTTGGCGTATTCATACTGGGTGCACTTGTTCTGCGGTTCGCCGCAATCCATAGGGCAGTACATGTACTTCTTCATCTTCTTGGGCGGCTTGGGTGGCTTCTCCATGTCCAGGGCCTGGATGAGCGAAATAGTGGGATGACCACCATCATCCTCGAAGGGATACTCTGGATCAGCGGGAGGTGGGCAGTGCAGCCACGTGAAGGCGTTTTCGGCCTTTAGCTGCCTCAGCACATTGGGCATCTTGTCGAGCTTCCGTTTCAGGCACTCACGATCCAGGACATAGGGGCCACTCGGATCCGGAACCTTCTTGCGCCAGGTGCGGTCGGGTTTCACGTAGGGTTTGGGGGGCTTGGGTACGTGGCTGGCTGCCCGGAGGCTTTTGGCCATTACTCTGTTGAAGCGTACGGCATCGGGACTGGGTATCCCGCCATCGATCCCATAGCAGGATAGGGTTTCCTTGCGGGGACTCTCGTTCCAAACGGCCAGTATGTCGTCCCTACCCATGTCGAACAGTCGCGGGCACTTGTTGGCGTCCATGGCGTCGTCGATGTACCCGAGGGTACGATTATCGCCGCATTTGGAGATCGGAGGCCGGATGATGGGATAGGTCTCTTGCTTCCAGACCTTGCCGGTCTTGCAGTTCTTCCACCGCATCCACTGGTACATGCTGGGTTGCTCATCAGGGAAGGTGTTCAGCAAGTCCCGTTCCTGGCACTCCGCCTCCGCCTCGGGGTTGGGCGAGGCAATCGACCCACGCTGTCCGCCCATGAGACGACGCTGCGCATACTTCTTTCTGCCCATCATTGTGATAAAATGTACAGGTATTCCTCGTCCGATTCGGGTCCTTTAGACACTTTTTTTTTGTTATTTAATCACAGCGTCTTGGAAGGTAAAAACTTAATCTGAGAACCAAACAAAAACAAGCTTGTTTTAAAATTTTGGTGTTCTGTGACTAACACATGATATACGAATGAGGTTTGGGGGCTCATGATTTCAGGAGGATGGTTTGAGAGTTCGGTGTAGGGTTACTAGATGAGGCAAAAGATTTCTTGAACCTTAAAATAATATTATGTAAGATCTATATAAGATCTCTGTATAAGAAAGTGTATAAGATCTGTAATTCTGTAATCTGTAACTTTGTTATATCTTTATTATCTTCCGCCATTAAAAACCCATGGAACCTTAAGAAGCTACTGCATGCGTGTTTTAGATTGTATGATATCCGGTACTCTCCTATTAAGTCTTAATGGACTTTACTGCCTTTTTGAGCTTCATTTAGTTATCTACATAATCTCTGGTTATGGGGTATTTGAACAATATCAATAACTAATACAAATTAACTATAACGATGAAGGCTTCTTAAGACCCCTTAAACCTCCAAGAACAACCTTCATAAATACTGTAAAATATAGCACTTTCTTATTTTATAATAGCCCATAGACAATAAGTAGCACATAGATTTGACAAATATAAAACGTTTATAAAAGCTTTTTAAGCACAACCATTTTTCACAAAAAAAGACCATACATTTCTACGATTTTTGAGGCTTATTATCCCTCTGATCAAGGATTACCCGGCTCTCCTCCATATCGGCATACAGGAGCTTGCTGATGGCACAGGGAATCCTTGAAGGAACCCGGCGGACATTAGACAGGACACTCGTCACTTTCCCCATCCGGATCTTTGCCATCGTCTAGGCCTTTACCTCTTCCATTGGCTTTGCTTAAGCTTTTCCTTTTCTTTTTGCGTTTGCTTTTGGGTTTTCTTTTGTTTTTGTGTTGCCGTTACCCTCGTCCTTGTGTTTTGCTTGGTCCTGGTCCGGACTTCCCTAGCCAGGTATATGCTCTCTGGGCCTGTCTTGGCTCGGCTTCTCATTTTCAGCATCCTTTCGAATTCCTTCCTGAGGCAGAGAGTCCCCGGAACGTCTCTTTGGCGTTCCTTTGGTTCTGGGGGCTTGGCCACTAGACCGGCTACTTGAAGGCTTTTGGCCATTTTCCTGTTGAACTGTTCGACTTCGGGACGATCTACATCCGAACCTATTCCATACCACGATAGGTTATCTTTGCCCACTTCAAATAGTCCTGAGCAGCAGATAGGCTCCAAGGCATCATTGGTGTATTTTTGGATACAAGAAAGTCGTTTGGGTTGGGGAGCTACGCTCTTTGCGACTGGTGCTTGAATACTGGGATGGTTCTTCTCCGGATAAACCTGGCTGACCCTCCACGGCACCCATTCGGGAGAGGTGGGCGGTGGAATCTTCTTAAGACGGTCGATCAAGTCCCATTTCTGGCACAACAAACCCAGGTGAGTGTCCTGCGAGGGCACAGCTCCACATTGCCCGCCCTTTAGTCGGGGATGCCGATTCTTCTGTGGATTCTTTTTAAGAGAAGGATTCTTTATCAAAGGCCATTCCAGACATATCACCACTACCTGAGAGTCCTGCTGAGCTACACCCTTCCGTCGAGGCTGAGAATTCTTTTGTAGATTCTTCTTACGAGGGTTAGTCAGTGGCTTTTTCCGAAGTTGTGAATTCTTCTGTCCGTCCATTAGTTTGGCAATAATTAATTATGTTTATACTTTTGTTTGGTTTTGTTTTAGCTTAGACCTACTCTAAAATTTATAAAAACTGAGAGAAACAATCTAAAAAGATAACTATTTTTAAAATTTAGATGTCTGATCTACACATGATATACGATTGGGGGGTTTTGGTTTACGACTATGATTTGAAAGTTTAAAATAAGGTTACTGGGTTTTTGAAAGTGGGGTTTTGTACTTCTTAAATAGAAAACCTTGATTATAACCTGCAATACCTATATTATCATCTATCTTTATCATCTACTATAGCATCTATTTAATATCTATGAAATCAAGAAGGAATAACAATTAAAACTTCCTGATTCTTGACTGTTTAATACCCGGTTTTTCCACCATATTCTTCTATCCCTCTAAAAATTCCACTTAAATATTAAAACACTTCATTAATTTACAAAAATTTATATATATATATTTATAATGATACAATTTGGGGGCAGAAAAAAAATACAGTTCGACTCGTTAAATATAAAATATAAAACCCAATATGCAAAACAGACGTTCTCAGAGGCAGTCGCACATCCGCTGTGCAACCCGAGCTCGCAGGTCGTCGAGATTGAAGAGCAGCTCGTTGTTGACGATGGGATTCCGTCTCTTTCCGAGGAGCTGCTGGAGCTGCTGTAGGGCGCCCAGGCAATCACAGTACTCGGCAATCTTGGGATTCTTGCAAAAACAGTCATCGATGGCGATGGGATCCGCCTTGTTCTGGCAGGCGACGTGATACTCGCCCCTGCACCTCATATACTCCCGATGGCGCATGATCCTGAGGTACTCGCGCAGCTGCCGTTCCTTGTCCTTGCGCATCAAACACTTCATGATGGGCGAGTCCTCGTCCTTTTTCGGGTACAGGCAGTCGCAGATGGAACAGGGACAGCCGTCGGGCGGACAGGTAGGACACTTGGGACCCTTCGGTTCCGACGGGGGTTTCTCATCCCCTTTCCCTTTGTTTTTGCCCTTTCCCTTACCCTTGCCTTTTCCCGGCTTGGGCTTGGGAAGCTTCGGCTTCTCGTCTCCTGGCCTATAGGGTTGTCTGTCTCCGAATATATCGCTATTGAAACCCTTAGTGCCAGAGCCTTGTGGGGTTCTCATGGAGAGATTTGACTCTTGTTTGGGAAGTTGTGGCGTTTCGATGTCCTTTATCTTGCCCTTGTCCTTATCCTTGCCTTTGTCCTTGCCCTTGTCCTTATCCTTGTCCTTGTCTTTCTCCTTAGCGCCATCACCACCTTCGTCACCGTCGCTCTTGTCCTTACCCTTATCGGGCTTTGTTTTATCCTTGGCTCCTGGCTCGTCACCTTTATCTTTATCTTTACCTTTGTCTTTGCCGTCGCCGTCGCCATCGCCCTTGTCTCCGTCCCCATCTCCATCTCCCGCTGGTTTAACAGGAGGTCTTACTGGTCTTACTGGACGCTTAACTCCTTCATCGGCATCACCACCTGATCCTCCTTCGCCACCATCGCCACCGTCGCCCCCCTTGCCACCGTTTCCTCCGCCCGTGCTCTGATCATCGGTCTTGGCCTTTTCCGGACAGCACTTCGCCATGGCCACGCACTCGGGATCGGGAAACGGTTTCATGTCGAAACATTTCAGAAATCTTTCGTAGAGCTGGTCGTAGTTGTGGGGCTCCTCCTCGTTCGGGAACACCTGGGCGGCGTACCATTTCTGGAACTCTTCGTCGTAGGGCCTGGGGTCCAGCTTATACTTGGCCCACTCGTAGGCGGTGCAGGAGTTCTCGGGGCCACCACAGAGGGGGGGGCAGTACCAATGATTTCGCCTCAGACCATGCTTCGGAGGCCGCACTGGACGCTTCATATCGAGAGCCTCCTCCAGACTGATCATCTTTATATCTTCGTTGACCCCGAAGGGATCCTGTGGATCCACTGCCTTGTTGCAGTACAACATTTCAAAGGCCGCCGCGGGCTGTAGCTTCCGCTGGACGGTGGGCATCTTCTGGAGCTCAGCTTTTAAGGCCTCGCGGTTGAGAATGTAGGGCTGGCAAACGGGAACTGGTTGGGGAGGATGCGGCGGAGCCGGAGGAGGTGGCGGTCCCTTTCGCTTCACCTTCATGCTGGCATGCTTTATACTCTTCGAAAGTACCCTATTGAAGGACACAGCCTCGGGGAGATACAGAGGATCACCTACACCATAGTACTTGAGAGCTCTCTTGTTCTCGGCCTGGTCCCACATCGCCAGGGCATCGTCCACCACCGCGTTCCCCATGCAGTACCGGCCCTCCTCCACGACCTCCTCCACAAAAGCTACCGACTGTTCGTGATTGCATTTGGACTCGGGAGGACGGATATTTAGGTACTTCTCCCCTCGGGTGAACTTGGCGGCCTTGCAGTTCCGCTGGCGCATCATCTCGTAGGGACTGGGTATGACGGGCGTGTCCGGGGGCATTTCGTGCGTTGAGTGCCACACGATTACGCCGGGAGCCAGAGTGCCATCGCAGCTTCTGTCAGCCACCTTCTGGTTACCTTTCGTTTTTTTGCTGCTCATTGTGATTCGAAAGCGGAAAGTATAATCCTCTGGTGCATCTGTCTTAGTTGTTCAATTTATGAAAAATTTTTTTTGAAATTTAAAATTTAAAAATTTAAAATTTCAATAAATTTTTCGTCTAATTGGTTCTATAATCTGAAATATAATGCCAACATTCTAGGAAGTCACAACCTATATCTATGTGACACTTAGCACTAAGCTCCTTTGATCCTTCGATGAGATAAGCGATAGAAATGGTGAATTATAGTGATTAGTAATCTTGGAAAAGTAAAATAGATTTTTTTAAATTGTTTTGCCTTAAATGGCCGCAAGTTGGGGTAAACAACTGAGAATTTCTTGAACTTTTGTTAAAATTATGGACGCAAGATTTTTTTGATTGTTGTTTTTTAACACTTACGACTTCTATATCCAAGAAATCTAGATTTTATTGATAAAGTTTTAGATTAACAGAGCTATGTGTTTCCTTATGGTTAAACTTCGCATATTTTAGAAGGGGTGAAGAATCGTATGAAAATCGGGGAAGATAAAGCCCTCACTGTGGACCCTATAGGAAAAAACCCCATTTTCAAGGGATCCCATAACGAAAAATGGACAAAAAATCGAAAAAATATTTTGTCTCAGGATTTTGATGCAGAATGGTGCAGAATCGATCTACAAATCGTTTAAGGTACTCCGCTTGAGAATCGAATAAGAATTGGAGAAGATATAGCCATCACTGTGGGCCCCATAGGGGAACACCCCATTTTCAAGGGATCCGATAACGCAAAATGGACAAAAAATCGAAAAAATAATTTGTCTCAGGATTTTGATGCAGAATGGCGCAGAATCGATCTACAAATCGTTTAAGGTACTCCGCTTGAGAATCGGATGAGAACTGGGAAAGTTATAGCCATCACTGTGGGCCCTATAGGGGAAAACCCCATTTTCAAGGGATCCCCTCACGAAAAATAGACAAAAAATCAAAAAAATATTTTGTCTCAGGATTTTGATGCAGAATGGTGCAGAATCGATCCACAAATCGATTAAGGTACTCCGCTTGAGAATCGGATGAGAATTTGGGAAGATATAGCTACCACCCTAAGCCATAACTGGCTTTTGCCCAAAGTTAGCTCTCCTTTCTTGTTAACTTTAAACAAACCTTTAATAAAACCACATTTCTAATCCAATAATTAGTTTTTTTATGAGAAATTAATGCACCATTCAGTTGGTAATAAGCTCTGCAAGTTCCCATCATCAAATTTATTATTATTACCCTCCAATGCAATAAATGCTTCCCCGATTCGCCAATAAGTGTCACATGGAACTAAGTATTATTTTATTAGCACCTTGAAAATCAATAATTTCTCCGCCGGAATCCTCCCACTGAGGAGTAGGAGGAGGAGGAGGGCTGTCTAAAATTATCACGGGCCGTCGCCAGGACCTCGTGCCCCGAAATTGTTGGGCGCATAATGAGCGTTCTTAAAATTCAAATTTCGAGCACAGCCGAAAGGATTAGCAGGCCAGAACGGAGCCGGAGCCGGAAAAGCCGGGGCCTAGGAATACGGCGAAGTGGCAGAGCCGGAGAGAGTGGAAAATGGAGAGGGAGAATGGAAACTGCGCGTGAGATTCAAGCGCGAACCGTGAGAAGCAATTAAGATAATCACCGTAGTCATTTCCGCTTTACGCTTCGCACGGTGTCCTGGGCCAGGATTCCACCTGTACGGGAAGGGAGCGAGAGAGACACATAGCTATTTGCATTATTCAGGGGGGAGGGCAAATTTGTCGGAATTAGTTTTTAGTTAAAAGCAAATCATGACGCTGCCAGCTTAGTTAGGACTCGTAGGGGATTCCCCCCTTTTGGCCATTACGGTTTAGGCATAACAGGTGGCAACCCCGTTTATCACCGCTTAACAGAACGGCACTTTAATGGGCCAGGCCAGGAGGAAGCCGCCAAGAGGAAGCTTTTCAATTAGTCGGCTCAGCAGCCAGCCAGAGAGGATCAGGATTCAGGTTCATCATACAACCATTTAGTGTGTCTGGCTTCTATGAATCCTGCAAAGCCTAGTCCTTTTTAGCTTGTCTGACCAGAAAAGCTTATTATATCCTACATTTGCATGCACTGCAAGAAAACAAAGGTATCATTATTTTTGATTTTTGTTGAATATTGATTTAAATTGTGTGTCTAACTTACAGGTCATATACCTCGTATTTTATAGATTAAATATTATATACCATTTGTGTCCTTAGACTTTGTCCTTGATTGCCTTTCTTTCTATCGATCAAAAGCCGCTTTCAGGTCAGACGACAGCTCAGACATTTAAGAGCCCGACAAGTCATCCGACTGAGTTTTATTCACCCAGCTCGGGGAGCTTGTGTGCATTCGATGTGCTAGCACAAAAGATAACATTGCTGATGTCTCCATCCTGGCCCATCCTGCCGGCCAGATAAGGTCCAGCCCGGTCGGGCAGTTTGTCAAGAGACCAGGACCGGAAACGCAGCAGGAAACAGCAAACAAACACACCACCCACTCTCCCATCATTGAGATGAAGGCTGAATGCGGAATACAGAATGCCAAGACATGGCTGGCCACAAAGTTAATGCCAAATTCATGCTCTGGCTTCCGTTTCACCCAGACACCCATCCTCCCCTCAGTCCTTAGTTAGAGGTCCTTTTTGTCCATTGCAGTGGCCGATGTCCTGTGTCCGAGCGAAACGATGTGTGCCATGCATTCAAAAGGACTTTGGTAATCCTGGTCTGAATCCCCTTACAGTTGGCTGTTTAAATGGCTGGCAAGCGAAGAGAACTTGAAGCGATTAAGTTAACTATTTAATTTCTTGAAAACTAGCAGAGAAACACTAATCCAATTATCAAGAAAGGCTATAAAAGGCTATAGAACCTTAAAGATTCTAAATAAATGAAAGAATACTCGTATATATGTATCTGGCTTTAAAAATGCATAGAAATTAACGCAAAGTCTTTGTGCAACCTATTTATACCAAAATCCATAGAATTTCTCGGCAAGATATTCATTTGTCTGGAAAATCTCCATGTTATTTCTCTCAGAGCTCTGGGCTTCTTTTGTTGCCAGAAGGAAGGGGTCATGCTGATTTGCATATAACCCAGTTTGCTTTTCAGAGCGAATATTTTTCAACTGCGGCTCTCGGCTCGGGTTTATTTCAGCTTGGCCCGACATGGCTTGGCTTGGCTCTGTTTGGCCAAATGTCCTGCCAAGGATGCACGTTCTCCCGGGCTCGTAAATCCATTTGTGCCGTTTAATTGAAATATGGCACCCCGGTCAGTTTTAGGGGGGCAGACTGCGACCGCGAACGGGGGGATCCTATGACTGGTTTACGAGGCGGGCAAATGAATTTTGTTGCACTCGCAGGATTAGAGCTAGCGGGAAAGGATATGACTTCCATTTACGACTGCCCGGGGCCCATAAAACTTCATTTGGCGCGTGTGCCCCTCAGGATATGGTCTTTCTTTCTTTTGTGTTCTTTTTTTGGTAATTAATAACGAGCATGCTCATCTTTCGATTGCAGGAGAACAAGTTGCGCCAGATTGTGACACTGGGACCGCAGGATACGCTCGAGGAGAAGACGGTGACGGTGTGCCATGGCTCCGATTTTGTCAACATGACGTTCGTCAACTTTTGCTGCACTCGCAAGGAAATAGCCCAGGTGAGTTCTTAACTTGGCTTTCATCCAACCACCCAACTAGCCATCTTATTATGGTATTGGCCACTTGGCAAACGACTCTGACAACTTGACGACTCGAATGAACGGCTGACAGCTAAAAAGTATCGAAAGGGAAATGCCATTTACCATTTAAACACGCCCAGTTCCGAGTCATTCGGGGAATTGGGTCAAGTGGGTATAGTATAGTATACCTATAGTGGGCCACGACGACGCTAATGATGGACATAATGTTGGTCATCATGTCTTGAGTACTGAGAGACAAGTTCTAGTAGTTTTTACAGTAGTTGATTTAAGAGTCTTGAGATTTTAGAGAAAAATTTCCAAAAGGCGGTGGTGGATTCTTCATTTCTCTCGAAACTATAAGTATTTTTGAAGCGAATTTTTATTCTTTTGGGTCTCCATAGCCCAAACTTTTCTCACAGTGCCCTTGGTGTTCCCCCATTTTTTTTTTCTCTAGAGACACACCTGTGTCATGTCGCCTGTTTTTTCGGTTATTTTTAGTGTTTCACCGAAGGCGCGTAAAAAAATTATTATGGACCACTAAACGGTGTTTTCTTTTTCGTATTTTATTGATTTCCGTAGCAGGGAGTGGCCGATGGCTCTGTCTGACGCCTGGTCCTGGCCTGACCTTGTCCAAAATCAATGTTCTATTTTATCAATGGTCAGCCGGCCATGTCAGGGTCCGTTGTGGTTGTGGTTATTATTTTTGGCACGCGTCGCGGACATTCCCGAAATAAACAAAATCAACCCAAACCGCCGAAACAAAGGGAAATAATAAAAAAATATATATATACATATATGAATATTATGAATATGGCGAAATGTTCATAAACTTTTCAGTAGGAATTTCGGTTGGCAAAAACAATCGAGACGCAAGGAAAAATAAACAAATGAATGGATAGTTGTGGCTTGGCAGGGAAAATTATTGAATGGAAGCCAACGAAAAAAAAAAGGGGGAAAGACTTTTGGACAATTTTCTAATCGATTGAATATCATTGACTGCATTACGCATACGCCCTGTGTGCCACCACAGTCTGATTAATTATAACTTAGTTCTATTAGTAAATTAGCTCTATTTTACAACCTTAGATGAATTTCAACATACATATTCATATACATATATATACATACATACATATTCATGTACATATTCATAGAAACATTTTCCATTTAAATTGAATCCCCCTTCCCTTTCAAGGACTTGCGCAAATAAACTGAAAACCCAAACGTCACTAGACCTTTAAACAAATATTAAGCATATCCCTGTTCAGCTTTCGTGGCACTTTGGTTTAAGCCCTCTCGTTTTCGTTTTGCAGCTCTGGTCTGACGGTCTCATCAAGCTGGCCTACAGCCTGGCCCAACTCAATGGATCGGCGATTATGTTCCTGCAGAAGGCCCACACCAAGCTCTGCCTGCAGGTGGACAAGAGCGGTCGCATACCGGTGAAAAAGTAATTGACAACAAAGTCCTTTCAACGGGCGATGTGCAAAAGTCCAGGAGAGGTCCTTTGGCAAGCTTTGGACATACATATATATTTTTTACGTTTTTTTGGGTCTCCTCGGGTCTCCTGGCTTTTGTGCATTGTGCGTTGAAGTATTTGACAAATATTTGCTAAGTGTAGCCCATCAGCCATCGACGTTGAGCTGAAAATTGAAATTTACGCCAATTTCTATTTCGCAATTTCCCTTTTTTCTTCTTCCTGCTGCTGCTCCTTTCTCCTTTCATATTGTGGCCACTCCTGGAACGTGGCTCATGCATCACTGACGCCGCCAACGACAACGACAACGACAACATCATCATCAACACCAACCATCGCATTGTCTGCCATCCATCCGTGGTCCTCGTCCCCCGCTCGTTGTGTGTGTCCTTTATCCTTCGTCCTGGTCTGGTCAATTCTGGTCGTGACCACTTTAGCATCATAAAACTTTTCGCCCAGAACAAGGAGGATCGCAAACGTGTCGAGAAGGCGCTGGACGTGACCGGTTTGCCGTCGGGAAAGGTCGATAGCATATCGGTGTCCAAATTTCAATTCGAGGACTTTTACAATTTGTACAAATATCTCACGCAGCGCTCCGAGGTGGAGCGACTATTTGACAGCATGTAAGTGAACTGAAAAGTTGATTTATTTCTTAAGAAATATTTAATATTCATCATATATCCTTTAGTGTTGGCAACTCAAAGCGCAAGTGCATGTCCATCGCCCAGCTGGTGGAGTTCCTCAACAAGACGCAGCGCGATCCCCGCCTCAACGAGATCCTCTACCCGTACGCGAATCCCGCCCGGGCCAAGGAGCTCATCCAGCAGTACGAGCCCAACAAGTTCAACGCACAAAAGGGCCAACTCAGTTTGGATGGCTTTTTGAGGTAAGCCATCTATCTGACTTGTTGCTATTACTGTCCTTCCAAAAGGGGTTGGAAGGACGATGCCACTCGAGTTGCCTCCTGGGCGTGACAGCTTATCAGCGGCAGATTTAGAGGCAAAAACAAAAGCTGTTGCAGCAGCTGGCTGTGGCAGGGCGAGAGCTGTTAGAGCCGTTAGTACTTTTAGTCCTGTTAGAGTCACTTGAAGGCTCTCTCGAGGCGAGTGCCTATGCATATGCATGTGTGTTTGTGACGTTGCACTGTTTGCTCTCGGGACTAAAAAAAAAAATAAAGCGTATAAGGATATGAGTTGCGTGGGTGGCTCTGGAGGCCTGCTCTGGCTAAGGAGGCGAAGGACGACGCGAAAACTGACGCGGCCTTCAGCTGCAACTCATTCAAACATTTCAGCAGCGAATTTTTCATCAAAGTATACACTAAGAGAAATATTAAGAAACTTAAGGATATAAAATAAGCTTTAAAGAACTCATATGTGTTAATATACTTTAGTTTTTTATATAAAAATTCCTTGTTTTTGTTCAAAAATCTTCCCAAAAACAAGACCTTTTGAGTAAAAACCTAATATTTCAGTTAAAATTTCCCCAAAAGTGCATTATAACCTGTTTGTTTACACTTTCGTGAAAGCTCTTTCGGCTTAGCATCCTCGAAAGCAACTTTTCTCACGCAGGAACTTTAGTCCTAGAACATCCTAGAGAGAGCCTGCATATCAAGCTTACCATTTAAGACACCTTGAAATAATCCCCTTGGTAACTGCTGTTTCCGTTTCCGCTTTCCGTACAGGTATCTCATGGGAGACGACAATCCCATTATGGCACCGAATAAGCTGGATCTCTGCGACGACATGGACCAGCCACTCTCGCACTACTTCATCAACTCCTCGCACAACACTTACCTGACAGGACACCAACTGACGGGCAAGTCCTCGGTGGAGATTTACAGGCAGTGCCTCCTGGCCGGTTGCAGGTGAGTGCGGCTAAAGGATGCGGATATGGTGGATGTGGCGGACATGGAGGATATGGGCTGTGAAATGCGAAGTGAAATGACGCAATTGAAGTGGTCACTCGTTGGAGCTGCCTGGCTGGATGGTTGGTTGGCTGGCTGGCTGGCTGGCTGGCCATGACCTTCATCTGTGGCATGACCTTCACAGCACACATTTAAAAACTCTCTCCCCTGCAACCTGTTCCCCCTCCCCTCTCTGTAGTCGTGTGAGTGCGTGCATCAGGTGCAGTTCCTGTGGCTCTGCATCTACCATGGTGGCACTGCACTGCGAAACTAATTTAATTTCGAGGCATGGGAGCGTTAATATTAGATTTTTCTAGACTCTAATAGATTCTATATGATATTAAAAACAAGAAAAAAAGAAGTTATAAATCTAGAAATATAAACACTCATATTTCCATTGCCCACTTTTCAGGGTACCTAGAAGTCCAATAGTAAAGTAGAGTTAAATTATATAGTTGGTTTTTGTATGATAACATACCAGAGGAGGCTTTAATTTGGTTACTATTTCCATTTTTTTTAAAATCATTAATTTAAAAAAACAGCACCCTCCTCCTCGATTCTCATAGGTTGCACTTAAGCAGGCACAAAAAATCGGGAAAATATTTTTTTTTTTTTTGTAAAAATAAAAGTTTAGATCTAAAAATCCCCAACAAAACAACAAAGTAAAGCCATCATAAATCTACATTAAAATTTGATTCTTAAACTAGTTTTTATTTCGAGTGTATACTCAGTTATCCTGGAAGTGATGGTTCGGAATGCTGATGATGGCCATGCCGGATGAACGATGCACACATCACAAAATTTATTGACGCAGAAGCTGTTACTTTGCGTTTATTCTTGCCGCTTGCCCAGCTGTCAGAATGCATTTTCCCCATTTTTCATTTTCCATTTCCCATTTGCCTGCGATTTACAGCCAAAAAGGAAAATGGGAAATGACAGTAAAGAGAAGACACAGAGGGAAAGCGAGGAAATTGTCATTTACTCTTAGCACTTTCACAATTGTCAACTGGCCTTTTGTTGCAGATGCGTTGAGTTGGACTTTTGGAATGGACGCACCGAAGAGCCGGTCATCGTCCATGGCTACACGTTCGTCCCGGAAATCTTTGCCAAGGACGTGCTGGAGGCCATCGCAGAGAGTGCATTTAAAACATCCGAATACCCTGTGATATTGAGCTTTGAGAATCACTGCAATCCCAGGCAACAGGTAAGGATTAGCTCAGAATTCTGGGCAATATTTTTCTTTTGTGAGCAAACAGGACGAAATTCCATCTTCGGGTGGGCTACTTCTTTTATGAATTTTAATCACTTTCAGGCAGTAGCTGGAAAAAGGAAAAGAGATTAGTTTTTGGGGACCAAGAAATGGGATTTTAAAGAGAAATTTAAATGGTCAAGGTAGCTAAAAAAAGAAGATCCCTTAGATCTAGAAAAATTAGTAAATATTAGTACACCTTGGGTAGGAAAAAAAATCTAAGAAGTGCGGGTGAAAAAAGTTACTTGTCCTAAAACAACAGTCAAATCCTTCACTCATCACCCTAATCCATCATTCCGCTGAAAGACAAACAATAACAAGAAAACATGGCTCACACAGGAGAGTCCTTGGGGTGTGCCTTGAGTCCTCGAGTCCGAAAACATTACTTAAAGACCATGAAGGGAGTCGTCGGCAAGCGAATCTCAGAAGCCACTCGAAAGGTAATTGCCGGCTGCTTAAGCTCCATGGCCAAGATAATAACAAAAGGTAAAGTTTTTACGGCCTGAAAGTGGTCGGTTAGGTTGGCAGGATGGCAGGCTGGCAGGATACCAGCCAGAACTCATCCGCCAACAAGAGGCTAAAGTTTAACCATTAAAAGTAGTAATATAAACTAAATTTCCCATTGGGAGCACCGGCACAAGGTAACAGGGAAAGTCTGGCAACCGACAGGACGAGACACAAGAGGCCACGTGCCAGAAAGCAAGCTTATGGCAGCAAGGAGCTCAACATATGATAGGTGGAGTAATTGTGGATACACAGAGGGAAACATATTGTAACTAAATAGTTGGTAATTGTAAAAAATATAAAAAACAAAGCTAACTTTGTTAGAAGAGTGGTTATTTCAGAAAAACTTATTTTAAAATACTTAAAAATACTTAAAATACTAAACCTTTAAAGTGTATCCCAACCAGTTTAATTTTCCTCCATGCCTTAAAGGCAAAACTTTTATTCTGGGAAATGGGTAACCCATCAACTTGCAGTTATCAGATAGTTAACAAGTCACTCGGCACTAGTACTTTATGTCAGCTCATTTATTTTCCCACCAACTTACCACTACCCTCTCCTAATGCCCTCTCTTTTTAGGCCAAAATTGCAAACTATTGCCGTGAAATATTTGGCGATATGCTGCTCGACAAGCCCCTGGATTCGCATCCTTTGGAGGCAAACGTGGACTTGCCACCGCCGGCGATGCTGCGACGCAAGATCATCATTAAGAACAAGAAGAAGCACCACCATCATCATCACCATCACCACCACAAGAAGCCGGCAGGCGGGGCGGGCCAGGTGGGCGGTACACCGGCAGCTAGCAACAAATTGACGGCGGCGAACTCAGGTGAGTGCGGTGCGGTGCCACATGGCGTATGCGTAATGTGGTCTGAGTTATGTGTTTTTGGTTGTTTTTGTTGCATATGTTACGGGGTTGGAGCACATGGCACATAGAAACCCCTAACCCTCTCTATCGTCTATGAAAAATGCAAATTAGCTTCGCACACGCAGCAGCTGCTCTGTATTTTTCTGGCCAAAAGTTCCCCAGTCAGTTGGAAAGGCTGGCAGGGAATAACAAATTCGATGAGGGCACAACAAAAAAAGGGATGAGTGTGGAGTGTGCCCTTAATGAACAGGGCTACCGGATACAGGGTATAGGATGCAGGATACAGTGGTAGCCTTATAATTGAAAGGAAAGTTCAGCGAACTTTAATAAGAAAATTTTTAAAAAGCTTATAATTGGCCACTAAATGTAATTAAAGAAACTAAAATTTGAATATTTAATGGGTTATTTATAGCCACTAAATGGTAATTAAAATAAAGCCAATCTAATGCATTAAAAGCCCAATTAAATGTCTACTTATTATAACCATTAAAAGCCTATTCCATTATAACCAAAATAATTAAAACATAATTCATCTAAAAGCCATTAAAATCTAGATCACATGACTAAAAGCTTCATAAGCTTGAATCTAAACTAAATTCGATTAAATTTTCCATTTTCAATAAGCAAACATGACTGTAAGTTTCCCAAAAATTTCTCCTTTCCAATCATTGAACATAATTTTCTGATAAATAAGAACACACTCCGGGCTATTTGGCTCTTGCTGGCTTGTAAGCCAACAATATGTTTGGCTAAAAATTAAAAGTTTCAACGAGTCCTGGATATCATGCTCCCCCCTCGACTCAATCACGAGAAATAAAAAGAAAACTTTTCAAAGAAAAGTTTTTTTCCCAACAAGAGCAAAAAATTCGTTTATAAATTGTTTGGGGAGAGTAGGAGATCCTGCAGGAGCTATTTGCATGCACAGCTGCAGAGTTCTCCCGGGGACCCGACATTTGTCGCCATTTTGTAGTGACCGCATCCTTGCGCACCCAAGTCCCCCTTCTATCCTCCCCGACAGGCACATCCTGTTTGCATTGGCCGGATGACATTTAGCTCATGAATTGCAAAAAGCCAATTTATAAATGCAAATGACTTTGGCCCCCAGGATGCAATTGCCAGATCCCAGCTGTTATGCCCGCGATCCTGGGTGCCCAACAGCCTCCGCCTCGTAATTTTATTGAAGCCCTTGTATATATTAATATCCTTTTTATTACTTTTATTATATTCCATTAAGCCGAAACTGGTTTTAAAAAGCCATCGGCAATTTGGCTTTTTCGCAGAAATCTTATTTCCATAATGGTCTTTCGGTATTAAATTCCATTTAAAAAAATGTATATATTCGATTTTTTTGTACTTTCCACAGTGGATGCAAAGGCGGCGCAACAAGTGGCCGCCCACGAGGAGGGAGGCGTGGCCAGGAGCACGGCCAACGGAGACATCGGCCCAGGACATGCACCGCCATTGCAAGTGAGTTTTGTTCTATTGTTTTTTTTTTTTTTATATTCGAAATAAAGTGATAAAAAGGTCAAAGGACAGAACATAACCATTCATTATTGTTGTGGAGGACATGGCAGTGGTCATATCGTGCCTGTAATTGCATTAAATGGCCCATATATATGTATAGTTTTGTACATGAAGATATATGTGTCCCAAGCCTTTGTTGACTCGGCTGATTTGTTTCTCTGTTTGCTGTTGTTCCTGAAACACTGATGTTCAGGATAATGATGATTGTCATCGGACTGCTCTGTTTGCATTCCTAATAATCATGATGACAGGCACACGAAGGGATAATGCACTTGGGGAAATATTTGGTAGTTTTTATAAGGGATTTAATCATAGCTACTATGTTTTATTTCCATTGGCTATTAACTATTATTTATTTAAAAACAGCTTCATATTTGATGGAACTAGAGAGTACTTTATATTAACTTCTTAAGATCATAAACTTTCCCCAGAAGCTCTTATGCTTTAGTAACCTATCTATATATCTTTTAACATTTCTCTTTATTTATCTCTTTTTAAAAACCCATATGAAACAATTTTAAAGATTAAAAGACCCTTTCATTTCTCACACTGTTTGAGTTTATGGCAGGACCGCAAAAAGTTATAAATGAAAGTGTGGAAATGAATGAAATAGAGTGGATGTGGCCATGGATGGTGCTATGGATGTGGCTGGCAATGGGAATATGAACGTGGAGCATGTGAATGGCTGATGTTTGATGGCCTGGGACAGTCAACGAACTGTAAACTATGGAAATGCCAAGTGGGCCAGGAGTTGGTTGTGGCCAGCCCAAGGGGCAGCTGACACACGATATGCTCACTAATCAGAATTTACCATGACCAGGAGGATACCACTAAGATTCGCATATAGTAATCAAAACGAAGGCCCACAAGGCGTTGGTTGGTGGCCGTGTTGGTTAGCCCCCAAAAGTAAACGCAACCTGAATGGAAAACCAAAACTAATTTGGCTAAATGTTTGCCAAATCTCCAACCCTTCGGATGCATTTTAATTTAATTGCTTAGCCCGCCATTAGTGCAGCGTTATTATTTATGGTTTAAAATTTCTGGCTCTTTTTTTATTCATGTCTAATGGCCAGGGTTTAGGTTTAATGGTCGTGTTGCATAATAAATGCTAATGGAAGTCAAACACCGCCCGTCCAGGATGCCCACGTTGGCCAGGATGCTGATGTGCATTTTGGGCTCATTTGTTCATTGGGGATTTGGCTTGGCCTCCGGTTTTGGCCACATGTTCCCATTATGGCCACTCACATTGGCGGCCGGAATTGTTGGGGTTTTATAAATCGATTCCGGAGTGACGTGATTCCATTGGGATGGCTGAAAGGAAGGGGGCGCCCTGGGCGAAGGCGAAGGCAAGCGGAAGCCTGGGACCACAGACCGCCGTGTCCTGGCTGTCGTCGTATCGTCGTAAACTTAATTCAATGCCCAACAATGCATTCTGCGCCACATCCCCTCTAGGCCCTTTTGAATTCCACAAACGGGTAATACAATCTGCGCCACTTTCTTGTCCTTGCACTTGCGGAAAATCCCAAGAAACTTGATTATTTATTGCACATCTTTAGGATGGGAGGGTCTATTGACTTTATGAGGCCTTAAAATAAATAAAAAGTCCACTTCTTTAAGGAATATTTTAACACAAATTTGAATCTTAAATAGATTCCAATTACTAAGAAAAACCATAGTATTTTCTTTGGTGTATTGCATGGCATGGGTAAAGGGTTTCTTGTCTGCGATAACCACACAACATCATAATGGGTTTCATATGTCATCTGCCATTCCGGGCTCGGGTCCTGCACTGCCATGACATGCAATTTAATAGTTCCCGGTTTTCCGGGTGGTGACCTAAAAGAAGGTTCAAGAAATGCATTCGCCCTTAAAATAAATCTTTTAAATTCTTTCCAGCAAATCCGACAGAGCTCCAAGGACAGCACCGGCTCCTCTGACTCTGATAGCTCCTCGGACGATGAATCCCTGCCCAATACCACCCCAAATCCGCCCAGTGGCAACGAACCGCCGCCGGATAAGGCCCAGAAGGAGACGGAAGCCGGAGCCGAGATCTCTGCTTTGGTCAACTACGTCCAGCCCATACACTTTAGTTCATTTGAGAATGCGGAAAGTAAGTAGGATTTGGTTTTGAAAGGATATTGGTTAAAACTTTAAACTTTTTTTTTAGAGAAAAACCGTTGCTATGAGATGTCCTCGTTCGATGAGAAGCAGGCCACCACCCTGCTGAAGGAGCGACCCATTGAGTTTGTGAACTACAACAAGCACCAACTCTCCCGCGTCTATCCGGCCGGCACCCGATTCGATAGCTCCAACTTCATGCCCCAGCTGTTCTGGAATGCCGGCTGCCAGCTGGTGGCCCTCAACTTCCAAACCCTCGACCTGGCCATGCAGCTCAACCTGGGGATCTTCGAGTACAATGCTCGATCTGGTTACTTACTGAAGCCGGAGTTCATGCGACGCTCGGATCGCCGGCTGGATCCTTTTGCCGAGAGCACAGTAGATGGCATCATCGCGGGCACTGTGTCCATTACGGTTCTGTCCGGGCAATTCCTCACCGACAAGCGGGTCAACACCTTCGTGGAGGTGGACATGTACGGTCTGCCAGCGGACACGGTGCGCAAGAAGTTCCGCACCAAGACGGTCCGGGACAATGGCATGAATCCGGTGTACGACGAAGAGCCTTTTGTCTTTAAGAAGGTGGTTCTGCCGGAACTGGCCAGCATCCGGATCGCGGCCTACGAGGAGGGCGGAAAACTGATTGGCCACCGGGTGTTGCCCGTCATTGGCCTGTGCCCTGGCTACCGGCATGTGAACCTCCGGTCGGAGGTGGGCCAGCCCATAGCTCTCGCATCCCTGTTCCTGTGCGTGGTGGTTAAGGACTATGTGCCCGATGATCTGTCCAATTTCGCCGAGGCTCTGGCCAATCCCATCAAGTACCAGAGTGAGCTGGAGAAGCGAGACATCCAGCTGTCGGTGCTGACGGATGAAACGGATGCTGTGGCCAATGCGGATGAGGATCTGTCCAAGTCGTGTGAGTAGTCGTTAAGATAGAAGAGCACCACTATGGGTTAGCACCACTCCCACCACTTTGATTAGCAATTTTAATTTAAATCTTCTTTTCTTTCTACTTTTCTTTTCGATAACTTTTTCATGTAACTTTCGGTTAAACTTTTGGATTTATGGATTTGGTTCAAAACAAACAAACAATCCTCAAACAAACACCAACCTATATACCCTATATACCCCACCAAACAACCAACCAACCAACCAACCAAACCAACAAACCACACACCCACCTACACCCACTCCAATAAACGGTTGACGGACACACAACAAAAAAATAAAATAAATACTGCACCACCTTTGTATTTTTGATTCTGCCCCCCAATCCGTTTCCTGCTCGATACTCTCTGATCCTCCAGTCGTTTTCGTCCAAGTAGGTGGCCAGAAGAAGGAGCTACGTCCGGTGGAGTCGCTAGCCACCTCGCCCAAGCACCGGGCCAGCATCTCGGCGGCGGCTGCCATGAGTGTGGAGTTCCGGGAGGCCGCCGATCGTCCGGACGGGATTCGGGGAGTTGGCGGTGGTGACGATAGTGCTTCGATTGTGGCACCCAGTATCCAGCACCAGCACTCCCTGGACCAATCGGTCTCCACCTCTATCCGTCAGGTAGAGTCTTCGCAGTTCGATGTGGACCTGGTGATTGCGGAGCCTTTGGAAAAGATTCTCGAGCACAAGTCCGTGAAGGAGAAGCGCCTGGAGATGGAGAAGAAGCTGGAGTCGCTGCGCAAGAAGCACGACAAGGAGAAGGTCAAGATCGCCGGCCAGAAGTCGAGTCCCCTGGAGGGCAAGAAGCCCAAGTTCGCGATTCCCAATAAGCTGGTAAAGCGGCTGAGCAACAAGAGTCTGTAAGTTTTCGGACGTGGCCTTTGGAAGAGAGGAATAGTGCCAGATGACGCCATTTGAAATTAGTAATTGTCTCTCTCCCAACAGCGAATCCACTGTAGAGATACCCCCCTGCCCCCTGGACCTCGGTGACAGCAGTGAGGAGAGTGTCGGCACAGCCGCTGATGCTGGCGAGGATTTGGCCGGTGGCAGCACTACCTCCAAGGACGGAGTCACCCAGGAGAGCCGACTACGCAGTGCCTGCCGGGAGTACACCACGCAATACAGGGAACTGCAGGAGAAGTACCACGAGGCCATCTATACTGCTGCGGAGAAGGTGCTAAAGACCTCACAAACGTCGCAGGTGAAGCAGTTGAAGGCTTCTCTGGATAAGGTCACTGGGGAGGTGATGCACCAGCTGCAGGAGGCACGTCGTAATGAGGTCAAGACCCTGGCCACGGTGCACAGGGATAGGGATGAGCTGGTCAGGTGGGTTGAGAGATATTCCTTTAGCATAAATATGGGAATTTAAAACAAATTCTCTTCTAGGATGAAACGCGAGGTGGCCAGCTCTGTGGTGGAGCGTGGAGTGGCGGAGCGAGTGCGTCTGAAGCAGACTTTTGAGAGGAGAAATGATGAGCTCCAGAAGCAGCATGAATTCGTGAAGAATGCCCTGGCAGAACATCGATCCAAGGTGAGTTTTTAATGAAATACTATCCCTTTACTAAGTTAATTTATAACCCTATAACCTGTAGGCCCGTCAAATCCTTGACAAGGACGCCGAGTCCCGCAACTGTGTCTCCAGCAGTGGCTTTTGGTGCTCTTCCATGGACCCCATCATCATGGCTGTACTGGTAGCACCGGATCAACGGGCAATAATCTCACCCTGAATTTGGATGCGGGAGCTGTTGGCGGAGGTGGCCTATCCGGAATATCTCCAGCCAAGTCGCACAATAGTATATCGGGCGCTGCAGAGATGAAAACATAAATCTCTTTCCGTTCAGGATTGTTGTCCCCGCCCGCCCGTAATATTTCTAGGATTAAGTTTGTGTGGTTCTACAAGTTGTTAGTCTTCAGTATTTGCACAAAAGCAAACATAGAGAAAAAAAGAATTAAGTCTAAAGTCTTCGTAGAGTTTAAGAGAATGTCGCTGCAGAGGAGTGTGCATGCGTATTCCCCTGTTTTTTTTGGATGGGAACTGACCTCGACTAAAATCTAGAACTTAGGGCCTTCCAAGAGACCTAAGCCCATAGGTGTAATCCAAGCGAATCGCGTTTTTCTAACTGAACAAACTAGTTGTAACTCTATCGCATGTATGATGTACTTGTAGCCGTAGTCTATCCGTAAACTGTATCTGTAAAGTGCAGTCCACTGCGTGGTATGCATGAATGTATAACCCTGTCGAACCGTATGGTTTCTTCCTATATGAACTTCGCTGAAACTCTGAGTGTCTATTTAAGCAAAACGTAACAGAGATGACTCTTAGTATATACAGATATATATACATACATATATATATATATATTTATTTCGGAAGGGGTACGAGTGCTCCAATCTTTCTAAACGCTAATTGTGGTTGTGTGTATTACTCTTTTTTATAATCAGTTTATAATCTATTTAATTTATATATAACTTGTACGATTAGTTTAAGGCTCTCGCACAAAATCAAAAAAAAAAGAAAGAAAGAACACTGTGAAGTGAATCTCGTGCGCACAATGGCGGAAGCGGAAACGGAAGCCAAGCACAAGTCTAGGCCAACACTTAGTCAATTATTATTTCCGGTTGGTAGCTATTTATTCTTGATTGTTGTTTTAGTCACTTTTAGTTCTTTTTAAGTTTATTTAGTTTTAACGAAAGAAGCTCCAATAAAGTCGTATTTTGAATTGTTTAAACACCCCGCTCCCCGCACCTCTTTTCTCTTTGGTCCGACACACCTACACACACACACACATGCACAGACGATGTCGCACACAACCTACAACACCAAAAAAAAGGATAAAACCCAAAAAAAAAGGATAAACTTAAACGGCAGTTAACAGATTGGAGGAGACCCATGACTCTCAAACTGTGAACTCAGGCCGCAGTCTCAAGACAATCAAAAATACAAAAAATTTATTAAAATATTCAAACTTAAGCCCTTATTTGTAGATCAGATTAATGGAAAGGACACCCCTCTTCTTAGTAATAAAATCGAAAACATAGAGTTGGAATGACGAGAACGAAATAATAAGCCCAAGCTGCCTTGTAACTAAATCCAAAATTCGAACATAGCCCCAACAAAAATATTAAAGAAAAACACATACAACATACGAGTAAACGTAAATCTAACGAACACACTAATGAGAATAATCAAAACAAAAGTTGAAAGTACATTTCACTGGACGGCAGAACCACCTTAGATGTTGTAATTTCCCCATACTTACTTACTCAAGAACCGACGCGATATTAAACCCATTCCCACAAAAAATAAATACAATATTATTAATAAAACATAAATCGAAAACAGGGAACGAGGTCTGGACTCTGAAACTCCCAATTTGATGTTGTAATTTTTGTGATCGTGTGTCGTAGTTTTCATAGTAAGATTGTCCCCTCAACCCAATCAGATATTACAAAACATATATCCCACATAGTAAGCAAGCAATATCCAGATCCAATAGCTATATATTGCTATATGCTGTATGTGTGTGTTTCCCCTGATCCACTGTCCCAAACCACCCGAAGAATAAAAAAAAAGTATTACTACATCGTCTATTGTTGTCTATCGTCTCAAGTTCGGTGTCTAATCTCAGTGCGTAATCTCAGTGTAATTGGCTTGACTTAATCCAGTGCAGCAGTGCAGCATATGAATATAATAAATCATATATTATATAACTCAAGCATAGTAGAATTCAAGCATTAATTCGAAATAGTTTTGGTGTTGTACGTATGTAAGCATTACTCGATCCAAACTGTATCCTGCATCTGTATCTGTGTGCTGTCGATGTTGTTGTTGTTATTAGCTTTCTCCTCAATAGTTCTTGCTGTTATTGTTGTAGATTGCAGACTATCCTTATCTTTTGCATGCGCCCACCTCTTCCACACCCCAATCTATTCCAAACTTTAAACAAAAGGCTTTAATCGCTGTTCGTTGTTCGTGTGTATTTTTTAAGCTAAGTTAAACGATAAATGAGAACATAAACTTATACGAAAATGAAATTTAAATTGAAAAGCAAAAATCGGTGTCAAACACCAGAGAAAGTGGCGCTAGTTGTCGTTGAAAAGAAATAATGAAAACGGGATATTCCAGCAGGGGATCCCCCTTTAGGCTATGGCCGTTATGACGGATGTATGGAAAAAAGATAAGTTTTGAGCGGTGCAACTAACGAATTTGTTGTTGCCTAATAACTTAAACTAGTTAAATAAATGTTTAGAATTACCCTAGAGTTATATACAGAAAGATCTACGTACATATGTATCGAGGAACCCCATTGTTGCAATAATATTGCCAAGGCACTTACCAATAATTATTACCAGAAACTAAACTCTTGATGTTAGCAAGAATTTAAAATAAAGTTCACTTAAACCACGAGAATAACTTCGAATAAAATAATATTGCAACTAAAGTACGCCCTGTTCAGAGTGTAATTTTTTCAAGATAACCTAGAAATGATCTTCAAAAGAATACATTTTAAAATATTAAATTACAGATTAAACTTCACTAATATTTCCATTAAAATACAAAATTTTTCGGTTATGAGTTTTCTGAAATTGGTTGAGCTTTTAAAATTGTTTTTTAACTTCATTTATTATTTTTTAAGATTTTTTAAAGCATTTTTTTCCGATTGTGTACTTTTTTCTATGATTAAATGCTAATTTTTCGGTATTTTTTTTCCCAGGACCAATACATTACATTAAAGGGCATCCAAAAATATAGCATATTTTTCGGCGTCCCGTACTGAAGATAACGTAATGGTCCAAACTACGTAATGTAGGACAATGAAAAATCCCCAAAAAGTTAAAATTTTATTGAAAATCCTACAAAATCGGGAAAAAATTATATAAGTTGTAAAACTTTTGAAATTACAAGATATTTTTGCCATTGTTTTATATTTTATTAGTTTATTTTCAATGTATATTTAAGTAAATCTATAACTATTCCACTTTATTGACTTAAAATTGTAAAATGATTTTAAAACATTCAGCTTTGATTCAACTATTACAAATTTAACAATTACAAAATCAAACAATTACAGGATAAATCAATGTACTAAATTCTTGACAGTTCAGGGCGTTTAAAAACAATTAATCTGTACATTTTAAATCAATTAAAGTCAAACAGTCAGTGTTTACAATGGAGTTCATTAGATAAATCGATAAAAAAAATGTCTAAATAAAAAAATAATAAAATTAATCACCATTGTTGTTGTGATCCGCAAAAAATCCTAAAAATAAACGTTAAACCAAAAGAAACTAAAGCCTTTTTTTACATTAAAATTGATCGGCTTGGCAAAATTATAAACTTATCGTTAGCCCTTGAAGTTATTATAAAGATTAGACAAAAATTGACAAACAAGAATCTCAAATCTATACAAATCGAATTGAATTAGAATGGGGAAGATGTCGGGATATAAAAAACACTAAGCGCTAATGATATGAAATCAAGATCAGGTAACACAAAATTATAAAACCTTTTGATTATATAATTTTCTAAGGCACCATTTTGCAGACTCGTTAAAATTCCTGGCAGTTGCAAGTATCACAGCATCTGAACGAATACCAGGCTGAGAAACGATCCCACTGCCATGCCACAACTCAAGGCAGCGGCCATAATGGAGGAAGCCAGTTCCTTCTCGTGCTGTTTGACGCTCCTGGGCGCCGATATGAGCAGTATATTGGTTAGATAGCCGTTGGACAGGGCAAATACGATTATCATGGCGATAAAAGTGTAGTCGTGCTTGACCAGAGTAGGCAGGAACTGGTGCTCACTGGAGTTGGAGCACAAGAAGAAAGGAATGAAGACCATACGCACGATGGTAATAAGAAGTGAAGTGCCTTGGTTCTTTGGTCGCTCCCACCAGCCCGCCAAAAGACGTCCAAAGTAGTCGCCACAGTTGAAGAACAGATAGTTGACCACCGGAAGATAGTAGACATCTAAAGAATAGAGAGATTTGGAATATCATTTTTGAAAAACTATTCACTGGACTTACCTGTCCACTCGCTGTGTCCATACTCCGATTGCATGAGCACTGTAACCGACGGATAAACGGAGAGCGTGGTGGTGTACAACAATGCCAGGCAGCTGGCATGTAAATAGATTTTCGACATCACCTGACGCATTATCGGTTCCAAGGGCACACCTTCGGCTCCGTCATTGGGACTGTGCGAGGGCACGGCACTAATCACCTTGTACTTGTCGCCACCTTCCAGATAATACTTGAAAAATGGCCTACGAGCCAGGATCACATAGCACACGATGCAGAGCAGGATGAGTGCTCCACCAAATATGAAAAATATAAAGGCAGTAGTGTTCGGACCAGTATCAAATGCAAGCACGAGTATAAAAGCCAGCGCTGTGAGAATGCCACCAAGAGCCTGTCCACTGACGACAGCTGTGATGAACTCAGACGGAAACAGGCCAGCGACACCGTACAAAGCTCCTGACATGGTAGCTGCCGAAACTGAAAAATAAACATAGGATTATCATTAAGTTTAGACAGATATCTTACTCATACTTACTATTCAGCAGAACCACAATCACAAGAGTTATCAAAAAGAACTGCTCTTGCCATTTGTCCGTATTGATCTCCACGAAACCTGTGGTTATCCCAAACAAGACCAGAATCATCCAAAGGGTGCCCAGCATCTTAGTGCGCAGGGAGACATGATGCCCGTAAATGGCATTGAGAATCAGGAAAGTTGTTCCCGAAATAGTGGCGGTCAATGCCAAATCACAGGTGAAACTTTTTTGCAGCGGGGTGAGTTCCTCGTCCAAATCTGTGGCATTGATCGAGGTATTACGGAATTTGTACTTCCAGTACTGTGAGAAAGGGAAAGAGAGAGACGGCGGAAGGGTTAGGCTTGAGTCAGCAAAAAAAAGTACAAAGAAAAGCTAAAAAGAGTTATCGTCGTAAAGGCGACGGCGACGACGACGGCAGCAGCATTCATAAAAGCAAAACAATGCTGATAAGCCAGCGTTACTTAGATTTGCGCTTGTCCCAGATCCATGTGATGTTCAAAGAACAGTTTCAGATGCGGGCGATCTGGAAAATTTCCACAATTAATTAACATTGACTTACATCTTCCGCCGTCACAAAAAAATTCCAGGGTGTCATTGTTCCAATTCCCAATAGATAGAACACAAAATAGGTGAAGAGTCTACCGCTGGTGGGTTCATTGGAGACCAGAACTACTTCATCCTGGGTCCTTTCGTGCAAATATCGCTCATCCGCCAGGTTGTACTGCTGCTGGTGATCCTGCGGACGGAAGGCAGGCACAAAGCTGCCCTCCGTTCCAACATCATTTTCTTCATCCTGGGTGCTGTCCAGGAGCCTCTCGGTGTCATCGTTTGATGGCATTCTGTAGTTTCAGGGTGTGTTAAGTGTAGTCCGTTCAGGGTGTGGAGTTTGCCCGCACAACTTTCAGATCATTTACTCCGCTTGATTTCAACAACAGCTGCAACAGGCTGCTTCCTCTATTGTTTCAGCATTATTTAAATTTAAATGGCTTTGTTTAATACAAAAAATTTATGCCTTGAGAGGTAATTACTGATTAGACTACAAAACAAAATAAAACAGAGTATTACGCGTCTAAGAAAAATCAGCTGTTAGTATGACCTTAACTGAAAGTAGGGATTTATTTAAATTTATACCGTAATATGTACTTTTTTGAATATCGTATACGATTTATTTAACTTCTGGTCCTACTGTTGCGCGCCAAATTTAAATTCTGGTATTTTTTCGATATAACATCACTGTTACGATAACAGTTGGCGCAAAGTTCAAAACAGATTCCTGCTATGCAGCTTTTGGCAAGTTTAATTACATTTTATATTTGCTAACGAGCAAATTACCAGCGTTGCATCCGCCACAAATCGTAATTTAATTGCCAGCAATAGCCGCCACAATCAAAAAACACCAATATCAACCCAGGCCACAAGAGCTGATGATGAATGAATGCAATTTGTATTTAATCAATAAGCACGCCCCGCAGTGTTTTAAATCAGCGCACAGCTTCGTTTTACGGCTTAGCGCCAGTCGCAGGATGCGATCCCCCCACTTTCCCTTTTCATATCCCCATCCTTCAAGCTGGATCCATTGGGAAGTTGGGAAATTTTAATTGGATTTGCATTCGAGATCGTCCACGAACCCGTTTCTACACATGCTCCATCTCGTTCTAGCGCTTCGCCTCCGAACGGACATAAATTTATTTTTAATTTACTTATGCGCGAATTTCCGAGCTCTGCCCTGCGGTTGTTTGATTTGCGAATTAAACTTTGAAAGGGTCTTGGAAAAGGAGCAAAAAAAAAGCGACTCGTTAGCGCTGGACAGCAGGAAAAAAAAGATAAAAAGGGAGCATGTTGTGGCATTGTAGGCATTGGAGAGTTATTCAGGACTCTGGGTAGTGCTCCAACTTCGATTGTCATCGGCTGAGCTTGCAAATTAGATTAGTTCATAATGATCGCCGTCGTCCAGGGAGGGGCGTGTCATCTCATTAAATCCATAAAAACGTTAACCTCCATCCAGCTCCATGCCCCATGAAAGCCCCAATCAATCTCAAAAAAGCGATTTCCATCGCACTTTCCCGCAGGCCACACACTCAGCCTCCCAGGTCGTCTGGCAATTTAAAAATCACATTAAATTAGTCAGCAAGAAATCACCGCAACGAAACCATCAACAAATCATCTCAAATTAAATTCATTCACAGAGTTGACCGCAGATGGAGGCGGGTATCGGGTAAAGGTGGTACCCGGGGGATCGGATATCTTGGCTAGAAGGGAAGAAGCGGTGGAGCAGGGTATGGTGGATGCGTTGATGAGTAGCCAGTCGGTTTGAGCAACTCATCTCCCATTCATGCCAACGGGTAGCACTCCGACTCTGACTCCGACTCACGGACTTGGCAATTAATAAAAATGTAAATTCAATTAAATTTATATGACAGCTGGCTGTCAGAAGAGCTCAAATTAAAAATTACTAACAAGACCTGTTCCCTGAACCGTCCAGTGTAGCGTCGTACCACCGCGTATGCGCATATCGTCGTATTTCCCCCCGTTGCGAGAAAAGCTACTTGACGAAAAGGCCTCGGGTGCTGGCCACGCTTAATTAAAAATCCAACAACTCTGGCTCACAGATGGATATGCAGCAGATTGGTCAGTGGATCCCATGTGTGCTCCCTTCATCCACCCCATCCCTCCGCTTATTTTCACTCTACACTCGCGAGCAATTCTCATTTGCCGGACTTCAATTTGAGTGACGTCCTCCGACCACCCGAGGTGATCTTGGATGCGCTCCAAGCTTCGAGTGCTCTGCTTGCTTTTCGGGTAGCCAAGTGGCAGTTGTCTGGACCGCCTGACAGCAGCAGTTAGTGAAAAGGAGGGTGGAGCATGGGGAGGCAGCTAAAGAAAGCCATTTGGCTTGTTCTAAGCCAAGTTGTGTGGACTTAACCCAATTAGGATCTTGGCTTTAGCCTTTAAGCCAATTTCAGTAGGGGACTTATGGCTTTAATTTAGAAACTTTTATTATTGGTAGGATGAACTTTAAGTTTATGCGATTCACCAGGAAGATATAGGGCTATACTGTCACCATTTTTAAGAGGACATATTACCTTTCTTAAGTGGTATACCACTTGAAACCTTTAGCCTTTTCCCGCCTTCCCCTACCGTTGGTCTCGCAAGCATCTCTTACGTGGAAGATCCCCCTCAAGGAGATGAGAAGATTTCGCTAATAGCGGAAGCCCTCTCGACCAACCATTCAAGATCCAAGATCCGAGTCGGCATTGCAACAGAACCGCCTAGTAATTAATAAATTAAAAATAAAAACCAACACGCACATGACAACAACGGATCACAGGGCTCGTGAGGGCAACATGAGGCAGCAGGGCGCTGTAGAAAATTAGCCAAGAGGTAAAATTAGGCGGGACAAAGGATAATCAAATGCTGATTTATGGCAATTTTCAGTCTTCCCAACTCTTTGGAATTCCACCTCCCGCACTCTGTGTAGACTTCCGGTGCTGTTGGCATTAACGAACGTCAGCTGTGTGAGGTCCTGGCGCTCCGCCGAATGACCCTTGTTTCGTGTAAGGGCGCACCAGGCGTGTGTGTATGTGTGTGTGTGTGAAAATTAGTAGCTAATTTGGCCTGTCATCATTATCGTGTGTTGTGCAAACATTTGTCCGTCTCGCTGACGTGGTGAGAGCTGGGATGGATCCACTGCTGGATCCGCTGGATAGTGGAGAGCTCCACAAAGTCAAACAAGCCGAGCATGACTGGGCATGGGCTCTGCTGTAGGTCGCCCCACTCACACACGGGGGTTTACCGGGGTTATTAATTGTATTTTGTGGCATTTACATGCTAGCAACGATCTCTTGGCAAGTAAATCAATCAAGGAGCGTTGTTTACTCAACTAATAAACTAATAACTTTACAAGAAAATAAACAAGGCTTGAGTAAAAAGTCCCTCAACACGATTGCACAAAAAGAAATTCCGCGAATTAGATAGGTTTTCTTATAGGATAGTTAAAAAAAAAGTTATACACATTTTTTAATAACAGTTTTATTTGCAAACATGCCAATTTAAAATAATCTGGTTAAATTATCTAAAAATAAATCAAATAATCAGAAGTAGCCACCAGAACCACTCTATAATCTTCTCGCTAAATCTTTGCCAGTGTAGGTTAGTAATTAAAATATTTATTTTTAAGCCAACCATGCGTGGCCCACATCCAATGCCACATTCAAGAAGCTAACAATCTTGTGAGCTGTCCAATTAATAGCGGCATATTCTGCATATTCATGATCTGTTCGATCAATAAACGTCTCCCGATTGCCGCGATCGACCCACGCCCGATCGATCTCAAAAGCGGTAACATTTGGGGGCGTGTCCCGGTATTAAACGTTATTCAAAATTATGCAAATGAAGGCAAGACATGTCAAAATGATTAAGTCTCGATGATGCTGGAGGGGTTTTGCAAGGGAACAAAACGAGGCATGAATCGAAAGACTTAGGCAACGAACTTGTTTCGGCAACAACAGGCGGAAACGAGAGAAACTCGAGAAGGGAAAGAGACAGCAGCTCACCGCCTCACATAAATTGATTCATAATTCGCATTCAAACGATTAATGCTAATCAAATTAATTAAAAAGCCGCCTAAGCAAAAATATGCATTTGGCATGATTAATGAGGCACAGATCTTGGCTCTCAGGCAATTAGGCAAGTTTCTTTTGCAATTTTTGGTTTTCATTCGCTAAATATATACTTTGATTTCGTTTCCGCCTCAGTCAAGTTCAATGACAGGCAACTTAAGAAATAACACAAAAAAAAAAAAATAATAAGCTGCGAACAAGATTACTCTAATCAAGTGTCTGACCTTAAGCGAACCTTTTTTTCGCCACATAATCCGCCAAATGAATGAACTTTAATCATATTAAGAACAATTTCCTTCGATTCGTACGTGAGGTTGCCATAATACCCGATGGCCAAAATTGTTTTCAATTTCAAAAAATAAACGCCAGAGGTGGAAGAAAATGAGAAATCGATTTTGATTACAAGCCACAGAAATTGCAATCCAATTGCCTGCCTGCCTGGAGGCGTGACGTTTTTTTTATTCAGCCTTACTTTTGAGTTCTGCCAAATTCAAGAACAAAAAACAAACACAAATCGATGGTTACACGAGTCGAGTGTGTTAATTCCACCTCCACTCAGCAAACTGTTCGGCGGCATTAAAAACCCCATACGTTTACATATCAATTTGAGTGGCAACCTGCTAGCGAGCTAAGGTGGCCAGAAAATAAATTGGAATATTTTGCACCACTACCCAAAAAAATAAAGAAAAACCCAAAAAAAAAAGAAAGAAAACCCTTCACACGCTATTTTGAGAACGTGCAAAATACTTTTCGAGTCGTGGCGCTAATCAAATTTGGAAAAAAGAACTGCGATATGGCAGCAGCGAAACTTATTCAATTACCCACTTTGCGTCTCATATGCATTCAAATTAAATTATGCTACAGCAATAACAACAATGTTGGCCATGGCTATTACAGCCATAAAGCCGACAAACACGAATCGCGTGCAGAAACAATTTAAAAAACAATCAGCTCTGCCAATGGCACCGTAAAATATATCAAAACTGCCCAAAGACCAAAAGAGAGAGAGAGCCAAGTCTAGGTTCCAGTTCCACCCACTACTATAATATCGGGGATCCAGGGTATACCGTATAGGGGGAACTGGGAACAGAAACAGCAGGGATCTCTGGCTGGCGGCCACTTTAACACTTACCCCAAAATGGTAAAAGTTTAAGTAAACAAAAGTTGAGTGGAATTTGCGAAGATGGAAATGCTCTACAGGAAGTAAAAAAAATACAATTGAAGATAAGTTAATATGAGAAAAAGTATGTTTATTATTAAAACGACAAAAATGGTATAAAAGAATTGAATTAAATATAGTTACATATATGCATTTTTGAAGAATTTTGAAAAAAAAGGGTTATATTTAATAAATTGTATATGTTACTTATTATTACCTACCTATTGTTACCTGTTGAATACTGAATACCTAGAATACCTATAATTCTGTTGCTATTTATTGTCTAATCTATATCATATAGTTCATATAATATTTTATCCTTATAATTTATGAGCCTTTATATTTTTTACAACTCGAAAATAGTTTTTATTATTTTGAAGAATATTTAATATTCGCTTTAATTTGCAAACTCCTCTTTCCCTGCCCCTTTTATGCGTTTCATTTTGATTTCATGTAAATTGCCTGTCGACGACAACAACACCAAACAACAACAACAACCAGAACAATAACAACACAGACAGCAACAATAGCACAAACATTGAAAGGCAGAGGGCAGACAGCCTCGACAATGAACAACTTCCCACACCAACCCAGCCAACTCTCTTTTTGAAGAACGAAGCTCTGCCATTGGCAGACTTCCTCCAAGAAGGGAGTGGCCTATCGAAACGGCTAAAAAGAGTCACAAGCACAGGTGAGAGGGAGAGAGTGAGGCCACGAAAGAGAGGGAGTTAGAGGACGAACCAGGCAGGGGTCGAGTCACTCGACCAGGTGAGCACGGCAGGTGTCGCCGCTGCAATTTGGTGCGATGCCTCGGCCTAATGGAAGAGTTGATTTTGAGTCAAATTAAATAAGCTACCTCTGGGATTGTTTGAATGTTTATTAGGGTTTCTGATTACCAGACCAAGAGGTGAATATATAGTGGGGATTGTAAGCGTAAAAATAGAGAAAGAGATGGAGAATAAAAGAAGACAAAGCCAGGTGAAGAAGCGACGGCAAACTAACTGATAGATGAAAAAATAAAACTACGAACTTTGAACTTAAAATGGGTGTAGGGGCTAAGAATTATTATATTTTGTCTTCCAAAATGAGTAACTTTATAGAAATGTTTATATATTTTTAAGACAAACCTTGTTTTTATCAAAGGATCTATAAGAAAAAAATAAAAACACCATTTAAAAAGAAACTATTAGATCTTTAACATGGAAATATTTTCGCACCTGAGTATTTAACCATTATAGAACTCTGATATTTATCCCGCAAATTCCACTCCAATCTAGAATCTAGATCCTAGGCCACCTCCTTACTGGTTGCAAGCCCCTTCCACTGGCCACTAATTGAATATGCATTGCTAAATGACTGTCAACTGGTCGCACACTCTCCATACCAAGTAGGTGACACCTTAAAAACCGATCCGATCAGCGATCCATCGATCGATCAGTTTGGTTACCAACGGCGGAACCCGTTCGAGCCATGTCTATCTTTGGGGGCCAAAAGAACGTTGAGTGGATGCTGATGTGGCGTAGGCTGGGAAGGATCGGGGCAATCGCAGATGCGAATGCCAATCACGCGTCAATTGCAAAGGCCAATGGCCATAAAGATGATCGTCTCCGATACGGAGAGCTGCCCAGATGGAGATGGCAATGGAGAACGCCTGTCAATGTTGATGAGTTGATTTTGCAGTTGACAGGCAGAGATCCTTAAGAAGGAGCAGCTCCGCAACACCACATTCCCCATTTCCCCCAAGTGACTAATTCTTTGAAGGAGTAGGAGGAGTAAGAGGCCCCGGAAGAGGAGCCCCATTGGAGGGCAATCTCCGCTTATCTTCACTGGTTTTACGACCCATTGTATTCGGCTATATCGTACACCCGGAGCTGTGATAAAACCATTAACAATTTATTAGTCTTGTCTATCCCCGTGTCGTCTTCTTTTGTGAGTCACGTGCTGTTGGGTGGCCGTGACTCATAGAGTCATAGCTGATCTGTTTTTGGATATTTTTGGGAGCTCATTCCGCTCACCTGCCCGCTTGGGCTCACCTGCCCCATAAGAAATTCTTCGCCTTATCGGTCTCCAATTCAATTAAGCGAACAATCAATTATGATTTGTCACGCGAACACCGAAAATAAGTCGCTGGTTTTTTGACAACACCCTCCATGGGTTTCTCGTACTCCTCGTACCGCTGGTACCTCTGATACTTCTCGTACTCCTTATCATATGACGCGGGCCTCTCTTTTCATGTTCGACATTTCTTAATTATTGATTCTATGTTTTCGCTACCTTTTGAAGATTGAAACATGTGTTCCGAGGCCTCGACTACGAAACGGAAATGAAATTAATTGGAAAAGTGCGTAAAGCGAAGGAATCTTTGCAAGCTAGACCCCAAAAACAATAGTGAGGTCACCAAACAAACAATATTTCTTTCAGAACTTTTTTGTTTCAAAAAGCTTTTCCAATTCCTAGACAAGAAACCTAGGATTTTTATGTTTAAGTACCTTCGAGAATGTATAGTCCCTAAACATTCTAAACATCTACATATTTCGAAGTGAAAGCAGGCTGCGTTCAAAACTTTCCCAATTTCTCAGCACAACCAAAGGAAATCGGCATTGTTTATATTCTCATCTTGCTGGAACAGTCAAGCTTGTCCTGATATAATATTTTTACTTTTTGAGTTTTTGTTTCGAGAATTTATTGTTCGATTTTGTAATACGATTGCTGACTCCGCAAAAATGTTTCGGTCTTGTGTACGCGATGCTATCCGCTCCAGCCGCGTCTTCACCAGGATGTACTCCAAGGAGGTGCGCTTCGGACCCGAGGTGAGGGCGATGATGAGCCGGGGCGTGGACGTCCTAGCGGACGCGGTAGCCGTAACTATGGGTCCCAAGGGACGCAGCGTGATCGTGGAACGGCCATGGACTTCGCCGAAAATCACCAAGGACGGCGTCACGGTGGCCCGATCGATTGCCCTGAAGGACCAGCACATGAATCTGGGGGCCAAACTGGTCCAGGATGTGGCCGACAATACGAACCAAGCAGCTGGCGATGGGACTACCACAGCCACAGTCCTGGCCCGGGCTATAGCCAAGGAGGGCTTCAACCAGATCACCCGGGGTGCCAATCCCAACGAGATAAGACGGGGCGTCATGATGGCTGTGGACGTGGTCAAGGAAATGCTAAAGTCAATGTCCCGGTCCGTAGAATCCAGCGAGGAAATCCAGCAGGTGGCCACCATATCGGCAAACGGCGATACCGAAATAGGGCGCATCATTGCCGAGGCAACCGATAAGGTGGGCCCCAAAGGAACCATCACCGTCAAGGATGGCAAGCGCCTGAAGGACGAGCTGACCATTATCCAGGGCCTGCGCTTCGACACTGGCTATGTGTCGCCCTTCTTTGTGAACAGCGCCAAGGGCTCCAAGGTGGAGTTTTCCAACGCCCTGGTCCTGATTACCTTGAAGAAGATCACAGCCCTATCGCAAATTGTTAAGGGACTTGAGCAGTCCCTGAAGGAGCGTCGTCCTTTGGTGATCATAGCCGAGGATATTAGTGGCGAGGCCTTGAATGCCTTGGTACTGAACAAGCTGAGGATGGGTCTCCAGGTCTGCGCCGTAAAGTCTCCCAGCTACGGGCAGCACCGCAAGGATCTAATTGGTGATATATCAGCAGCCACCGGAGCCACGATATTCGGCGACGACATCAACTATTCCAAGATAGAGAATGCCAAACTGCAGGACATGGGCCAGGTGGGCGAGGCTGTGATCACCAAGGACAGCACTATGCTGCTGGAGGGCAAGCCCAAAACGGGTCAGCTGGAGCTGCGCATCCAGCAGATCCAGGACGAGCTGGCCGACAAACAGACAAAGCCCGAGCAAAAGGATCGACTCCGGCAGCGACTCTCCGCCTTGACCAAGGGCGTGGCCGTGCTCCACATCGGCGGCATCAGCGAGGTGGAGGTCAGTGAGAAGAAGGATCGTGTGGTGGATGCCCTGAATGCCACCCGGGCAGCCATTGAGGAGGGCATTGTGCCCGGGGGTGGCACCGCCTTCCTTCGCTGCATTCCCCACCTCGAGAGAATGGAAGTGGAGAGCAAGGATCTGAAGAAAGGTGTGGAGATCATTTGCAACGCCTTGCGGATGCCCTGCCATACAATTGCCCAGAACGCTGGCGTAGATGGCGCCATGGTGGTGGCCAAGGTCATGACCAGGTCCGGTGACTTTGGATACGATGCCATGAAAGGTCAATACGGCCGCCTGATCGAGAAGGGCATTATTGATCCCACTAAGGTGGTTCGTACCGCCATTTCGGATGCCGCTGGAGTGGCTTCCCTACTGAGTACCACCGAGGTGGTGATAACCGACTCCCGAAACGACGATCTAATGGCCAAACTGGCCGGCCTGGGAGGAGGTGGCGGTATGGACGGACTGGACATGAACATGGGTGGCCTGGATGAACTTGCTGCCTTGGCGGGAATGGGAGGAATGGGTGGAATGGGAGGCATGGGCGGCATGGGCGGCATGGGCGGCCTAGGCGGTCTCGGTGGCCTCGGTGACCTCGGCGACATGGGTGACATGACAGGTCGCATCAGCGCCTCCGTTCCCAACGAAAGCGATGGACCCACTGCCGAAGAGATGAACGAAATGGTCAAGTCCATTCCCGGAATGGAGCAAGTGGAAGTCAAGGACATTGACTCAACACTTATGTAGAAGAAAAGAGTCTTCACCACAGTTATAATACTCCCATAATACTTTCATCATACAGTCCCGGTAACTTAACTTTGCGTTTTGTGTGTAACCAAAATTGATTTCGTTCTGAATAAATTGTTTTAATAGTGAGGTCTGCTTGAATAAATAAATGAAGATGTCGGAGGTTCCAGTTCAGGTTGCAATACCCATTTCCCTTCCTGCTTTACGAAAAGGAAACCCTTGACATGTACACGTCGTGACCTAGTGAACTGCGCTTGTAATGCTATCAATAATTAAGTGCCACTGCCACCTCGTCGAACGGGCGACGATGTGGCAGCCACTGGAGAAGGGATTGGACGAGCAGAGGATCCCGATCCCGGAGCACGCGGGCCGCAGCATCGAGCGTGTGGCAAGGGGCCAACGAATTCTTAATAAGCGGCGGCTGCTGCATAAATTTGCAGCCCAAAAACAAACATTCCAATCGAATGGGTTGGACGGGATCAAAAATAAAATACAGTAGAGGTTTGGTGATACCCTATGAAAAGTGGGGGAAACTGAAGTAAGGATTACAAACCTCCACAAAAAGGTAATAGTGATATGATAATAGGTCCACTTAATCTATCTAATATTTATAGAAATATCTTAGGCATACCAAGTATATTGTTGGAATCATCATACCCCTTAGAAAATAGCATTTCCCTCACAGACAGTGCGTAGCACACGCAATGCAAAAATCTTGTTGCAAGCTGTAACAAGTGGGCGGGCCCGGGAGGGAGGACGGGGTCTTGCAACATGTGCAAATGCGCGCATGCGTAATTATTGAAACAAGTTAATTACTGCGAAGGTGCCTCCAACTGCCGCGAATCGAACTCTTTGGCGACTGTACGATTAATATATGCAAGGCAGCGCATTCCAGAGTTGGCCAGAGCCAAACCCCAGCCGAATCCTTTTAAGGCCAGGCCAAGGCTTTGGCCCAGGACGGTGCAGGACAGGCTCTGGCCCAGAGCCGGGCCAGAACGGGGCAGGATTGCAGCTGCAGAAACAGCGTGATCAAAGTGTGAAATGACTTGTTGCTGTGTGATACCTGAATACAAATTGGTTGATGCCTGGCCATGGTCTATCGGTCGATCGAAAACCTTAATTAAGTTGTTCTCCGCTGATTTCTTAAGAAGCGGAATCCGTACCCATCTCCACAAACCACTAACCACTGACAAATGGCTATGAGTTCCAGATAGCCAGCTAAATTATCACTAAGCTCTATAATGGACTCAATAGACTTTGAAATTAGTTCTGTGTTTCTATTGACCTCTAAATTGGTAATTGCTATCTTATCACAGTCTACTTAGGCTTTCGGACTTAAAAAAAGCATAAAGATTAGTAGTAATAAGGTTTAAAGTTTATAGTATTAAACTAAAACTCCCCTTAAGACTTGTGAAATCGAACCACCATAAACTAATAAATAATCTTCGTATGACTATTTTAGTTTTAATAACTCAGTATCAACTAAGTTAATTAATTTTCTTAATAATAGACAAAAGATTCCTGATAAAATAAAACTACAAGACGAAAAATAACTACTCAAAAAAATATATAACCTCTCAAGTTATTTATTGAATGGCTTGTCATAATTTCGTACTAAAGAACTCGACTTTGTTTAATTAAAAAGCATATGAATGTTGTGTTCGAACTGATAAGAACACGACTGTGATTAGGTGATGGCTCACCTCGATGAGTGTCCAAAAAAAAAACCTGGTAACCAAAAACCAGGTGAGATTATCGCACTTCGGGCACGGACGTCAATCATATTCAATTAAAATCAATTGTCTGTCGTTTTACGCTAGAAATAAATAAATAAGTGACCAAGCGATGACCTCGTTTAACGATTTGATTTCACTTGTTCGGGGTGGTTGAGTACCTCCACCTCTATGTACGATTGAAACTTTCCCCAACCTCTAAAATTGGCCGATAAAAATCATCTGGGAAGGTTCTCTTGTAATTCTGATACGGAAATCGGAGCAGCACGCGTTATAACAGATGGCAATCAAAGCCCCAGTCTCGATCTTCAATTAGCTAATAGAATAGAAAAACCCAGCGTCTCGAAATAGAAAAAAATACCTACTGAGCCAAAGATAGCCAAGATCAAGGGGTGCCTTTGTTATGGCCAGCTAATTATGAGAGTCCATCAATTAATAATAAAAGGAGTCGCCTTGGTAGTTCCACTTTATTTGCATTTTTAATTTCTTCTTCCTAATTAAATATTCATCTCTGTGTGTGCATCTCACGCTGTGTCACTTTTATGGCTTTTGATTTATTCGAATATCTCTGATTAATTGAAGCCGACTCCAAGGTGGGGAGAAAGTCTTTGAGACGAGGAGGCAGAGAGCCAGAGATTCTCCAGCTACCATTAGGGCTCGTTAAGAGAGTTTAAACTTTAAAGTCCCAAGGTGTGCGTCCTACATTCTCATTTGCTACGGTTTATTTTTACGCTTGAGCCGCATAATTTAATAACCCCCGGGATCGGACGGCTATATGTAGATGCATATGTTGGTATATGTGCTGGCCCGTTTCGAAGACAAATGGGTTTATTATAAGTATGATGGCTCGAAAAATTTATGCGCGCTATTAAATTGTTTATTAAACGACCGCAGCACCCAGCCTCAAATGGCGAAAAATAAATCGCTTTTCACTCTACACAGTTTTTTTAATTCTCCTTCTCTGAATAAAATGGGTAAAAAAAAAAAGAAACAATTTTAGAGAAGCTACTGCTTGGGCTGTTGATGAACTCATTTGTCAAAGTCACCGGACTACCGAAGTTCCTCCGAGGTAACCTCAGTCCATCTATTTAATTACCAATATATGTTGGCAAGTGGCTTCAGCATAATTGCATTGGCGTGCACCACCTCCTTGGCTGGAGGTCTCTAAGTACTGGGATACAGTGGAGCTAGCGAGTGGAAGGAGGGACTTTGCTAAAAAAATATTAAATAATATTAAAGAAAACTTTTAAATATATCTTGAAAATATTTGTAGCTTCGGAGAATCAGATTCCTTTGGGAATATATTTTGAATGCCTTCTACCCTCAAAACGATCCTAAAACCTAAAAACAACAGTACCCTATTTTTGTAATACATAAATCCCTATTTTAATTACGTTTCCTCTAACAATGGCTTCTCTAATTTTCCTCTTAGTCATTGTTCACTGTACCGTAAAGAAGGTTTGGCGACCACCAAGTTTGATGCTTTGCGAAACGGAAGCCAAGCTTAGCGCGAAATTTAATTTAAGTTTCGAGCTCTGAGAAGGTTTTCCCCTTCCTTTTTTTTGTATTTTTCTTGCAACTCATAAATGAAGGGGGCTTCTCCGCTTATACCCCTTGCCACGCCCCCTCTCATCCTGGATGACTGACGGACTGACGGATCGGCTGACAGGCCACGTATGAAATTTACATTCATTAGCTCGTTATCAATCTTTATGCCCCTCGTTGGAGGCCTACAGTGGCTTGCGGTTTCCTTTGGAGCCTGCAACTAATTACAAAAAGTAATTATTCGTGAACTCTTGTTAATGCCACAAAGGGCGCCAGGAGGTGGCCTGTTGGGAGTTGGGCCAGACAGAGGGCTAGGAGCGAAGGTGGCGCGAAATCAATAAATTTAATATGCAAACTGAAGATCGATTCAGAGGAGGAACAAGTTGAGGAAACAAACCTAGATTAACGAGTTGCAACTGCAACTCAAAAAGGGGTGTGCCCCAACGTACGGAAGCCAATTGGAAAAACATAAAAATAAAATAGGCAAATGAGGAAGAGAAGAAAAAGAGGAAAGAACGCTCAACATTATTTACAAGTCAATAAAATCAATTTGGGTAGCCGAAGAACAAACAAATTGCCGACAGACAACAGACACCCAGGATACTATCGTTAGGGCTAACATACACACACATGCTCACAAGCAGCCTTATAGCCACAAACCAATTATAATTCTAACGATAGCCCCGACCAGACCTGACTTGAGAGTCCCTCATCGATTTGGAACTGAAGCCGACCTCTAATTAATCAATTATATAAAATGCAACTAATAGAGAGGGGAAAAGGTATAAGAAAGGACTCTTTTTACCAAAACGGATGTCCAACTCCACGGCAGCTGCCACTGATCAGGGCAGAAGATATATTAAGGATATTCTAAGACGGTAGATCTAACCCTTTTTGGAATAAAGATAATATCAAAAGGTGACGGAAAGCGAAGAGTTTATAACAATCGAAGGTTGGTGATAGGTTTAATGATTCAGGATAATAATAAACATATGAAACACTTTCTTATTTTTGGGTAAACAGGAGGAAATATGTACAAAATTGAGTAAATACACAAAAATTTTTATTTTTAAGGTTCAATAGTTTCTGCTGTATTATTAGGGCTAATAATATCTATAAAACTATTACCCCCTACGAAAACAAATACATCCATTTAAAATTTGGGAATCACCATGTAATAAGTGTAGCTCCAAATTTTAATTTATTTTTAATAATTTGTTTTTCAATAAATGAATTAAACTTTTTTCCTGTATAAACGATTCTGGATCTTACTTTCGCCTCTAAATGCTGTTTAAATAATTTTATACTGTTGGTCATTAAACGACTTTGGTATTTTTAATTTCAACATTGATAAATAATTACACCTGTTTAAAAATTCGACATTTTATTCCGTCAGAATGAGTGTCCAAAAAAAAAAAATTGAAACGATCCACGAGTCATCAATTGGTCAAGGAAATGTAATTATATTTAATTCCCTTTAAAAACAATATGAAAGATAAATTTTAATAATTTTAATTGATGCGCATTAAACTCAAATTAACCGAAATATACATTTTTGTTGACCGTTTTGCTAAATTCAAGGAGCATGGAATGGGGAATAATTAAGACTCCATTCGGTACACGCACTAATTACCAAAGCATTTCACAATTTTATATAAATATTTTTTTTGTATATTTTTTTGAGAGAGTTTCCACAATTAGATTTACGAAGAAATGAAATTACTTTGCTTTCGTTTTAATTGCTGGCTGCTTATTGGCTGGCTTATTTGTTCGTATACTCCCATATACCCACATAATCAGCCAAGCAGAGTCAGAGTTATGGGCCTTATCGCTGGCTGGAAATCTGGCGAT